GGTCTGACCAGCGCAGAATACAGTGGCACTATTACTTCCCTTGATCTAGATGCTATACTCCTATTGATGCAGCCCAGAATTGCATTGGCTTTTTTAGCTGCCGCGTCACACTGTTGGCTCATGTCAAGTTTGTGGTCAACCAAGACTCCTAGATCCTTTTCACATGTACTGCTCTCAAGCCAGGTGTCACCCATCTTGTATTTGTGCCTCTCATTTTTTGTGCCCAAGTGCAATACTTTACATTTCTCCCTGTTAAAATTCATCTTGTTTGTTTTGGCCCAGTTCTCTAATCTGTCAAGGTCGTTTTGAAGTGTGATCCTGTCCTCTGGGGTGTTAGCCACCCCTCCCAGTTTATTAACACAGTTTATTAACACTGGGAAACATTTTATTTTTTTTTGCATTGACAACTGCAGTTGTTCTAACCTAATTTTGACGTGCTGTTTTCATATCTGAAGTTGGTTTTATTCTGTAAGCTCTAGTTTAATTCATGTTTTTCACTTTTCACCATAAGCTTTGTTTTTCACAATGCAAGAATTCAATATTTTATTAAACACATAGCCAAAGTAGTACAATATGAGTATAAATGTAAGTGACTTATATAGCATTGAATATGTATATCTATGTACAGTTGGAGGTATGCAAAAAAATGTATTCCCTTGGGATACACAGTATACTGGGGAACAATTTTTTTTTTCCATTTTCTGTTGCATGAGATTTTTCAACTGTTCTTTTATGTTCTTTCAATGCTGATTTCAAATTTGAAATCGATTTTTGTGCACGTGCTATAGTTATCTTTCAATTTCCAACTTTTGCCAATATGTCATATTTACACTGGGGATAAGTGGACACTGACACGTTGATCTACCCTAAGCACATGGTAATTATTGATTTGCAAACTTAATTTTTCTTTATTTTTTATAGTTTTGTAACCTAAATATTTGTATTTTTCAGATCGGACCATGGCTTCTTCAAGTAGACAAAAATGTATAAGCGCTAATGGAATGTGGAAAACATCACATTGTTTTGGCAAAAACAGTGTGTGCCGGGAACAGTACAGCAAGGAAGCTTGGAGGTGGGCTGCAAAACTTTGCACAACATTCAGATAAGAGTTGTGAGATGATGCCAAGGACAAGGATATGAGATGCCAAAAACACGCTAAAAACAAGGAGCAAGGAGTTGTGTAATGCCACACATCAAATGAATAAGGTGTATAAATGACAAAGCTCTCCAGCCTCAGTTGCGTGCCAGACATTTGACAGCGCTGTCGTCTGGTCACCCGTGACTCTTACTGAATCTGGCTCATTCAGTGAAGAGTGGTGAGTATGGGTGAGTATGTATGGATGCGTATATGACTGAGTGCATGTTCCCTGTCTTGTCATGTTTGCTGATCAATAAAGCAATGTTATAGAGAAAATCCAGTATTGGTTATCTGGGGTTTACTTGTGCCTTCCTAGAGTGTACTGGGTCTCATCTATGCTAAACATGTAAACAGATTAAAAGGACCTAAGTGGCAGAAAGATATTTCTAAATTTGTCTGGCAGGGCAAGAAACCTAGAATAAAATTTAAAATACTAACAGATGCAAAGGAAAGAGGTGGATTTGCCCTGCCAGACCTCAAACTTTATTATGAATCAGCAGCTTTTTGCTGGTTGAAAGAATGGCTACTTCTTGAAAACACTGACATTTTGGATTTTGAAGGTTTCAATAATGTATTTGGATGGCATGCATATTTATGGTATGATAAGGTCAAAGCACACAAAGTATTTAAAAACCACATTGTCAGGAAAGCGCTATTTAATGTTTGGATAAGATATAAGGATTTGCTAGAAAATAAAACCCCAAGGTGGCTGTCACCAATGGAAGCGAAAGCCTTGAAAAGGGTCAATATGGAGGTCAAATGGCCGAAATATTGGGAAATTTTGGAACAAGACGGAGATAGACTGAAATTGCAGAGTTTTGAAAAACTAAAAAACAAAGTGCGAGACTGGCTTCATTATTATCAAATAATGGAGGCATTCAAATTAGACAGGAAAATTGGCTTCCAGATGGAAAAATCAAAATTAGAAACAGAATTGTTAGAACCCAATACTAAGAATCTGTCAAGAATGTATAACTTGCTGCTGAAATGGAATACTCAAGATGAAACGGTAAAATCGGCTATGATTAAATGGGCACAGGACGTAGGACATAACATTATGTTTGCTGACTGGGAACAGTTATGGACCACTGGTATGAAATTTACGGCATGTAATGCCTTAAGAGAGAATATTATGAAAATGATATACAGGTGGTACATAACCCCAGTCAAGCTTGCGAAAATCTATCACTTGCCCGATAACAAATGTTGGAAATGTAAAGAAATTGAAGGTACATTTTTTCACCTTTGGTGGACGTGCCCAAAGATTAAGGCTTTCTGGGAAATGATATATAATGAATTAAAAAGGTATTTAAGTATACCTTCCCCAAGAAACCAGAGGCCTTTCTCCTGGGCATAGTGGGCCAAATGGTGTTAAAAAGGATAGAACTTTCTTTATGTATGCAACAACAGCAGCAAGAATACTCATCGCAAAGTATTGGAAGACACAAGAACTTCCCACGCTGGAGGAATGGCAGATGAAACTTATGGACTATATGGAATTGGCGGAAATGACTGGCAGAATCCGTGACCAGGGAGAAGAGTCGATGGAGGAAGACTGGAAGAAATTCAAAGACTATCTTCAGAAACACTGCAAAATTAAGGAATGTTAGAGTGATGTTGGATTGAAAATAAGTGGTTTCCAGCTGTACAGGTTAAAGTTAAGGATAGATTAAGATTAAAGATCAAGATTAAAGATGTTTAAAGAAATGGAAATTTGATAATAAAAGGGAAAAATTTAAAGGTATATGATATTAAGAACAAGGATTATGTTTAAAAAGTTGAAGCTATATATTTTAATATTTTATTAAATTAAAGATTGGTTTTAAAAAGTGGAAAAGAAACTGCTGGACAAATAATGTAGATTGGAATACAAAAGAGGGAGGTATGAGGAAGTCCAGAAAATAAGTAATTTAAAATTGGGAATGGAAAAGAGTTTGTTTTTAATTGTTATGTTTTGTGTTTTTATTGTTAAATTTTGTATTGTTTTTTTTGTGTGTGTTGTTTTTCCTTTTTCTTTGTTTAAAACCTTAATAAAAAATTATTTAAAAAAAAACAACTAAGTGGTCATAACAGGTTTGGGACTGGCTTTTGGAAGATGCCCGTTTGTGAATTTGTTTTGTGTGTGTAGATCAGTGCACGCTGACCAACGTGCCGTCTTCGCAGTAAGCCTCTATTCTGATGGCCTGAGTAATCACGACAACCAGTAGATTCTTATCTGCTGCAGCCTTCATCCGCCCTCACAGCCATTGTAGCATACCATTATCATCCGCCTGTTCTGCCGTTGAGGACTTATTGGATCATTCTTTGTCTAGCTCCTTTCCTTTGACCTTACCGCCTTGGGTTCAGCACACTAAACAGCTGTAAGGCCACTGAGGTTACTTCACAAGTTGGACACAAGAGAGAGCATGAGGGAAATAGCTGAAGGGAACTCCTCTCTATTAAAAATCATCTCTGAGGCCAACACACATACAATTCAGAAAAAGCAGAACATATTGTGAAAACAATTTGTATTTCATTACTTTCGGTTTTATTTTTCTCAAAAAATGTAAATGTACTTTTAAATTTACATTTCAGCTATTACACTGAAGAAGCAGACAGTTGTACCAAAATGTTAATGCTGCTCGAACACTTTGCTGAATAGCATTTTTTGATCTCCTGTTCTATGTGAAGGAAACCAAGAATTAACTGTCAGAGTAGTAGTAATAATAATGATTTGATCTATATACTGCTCTTTATCAAAAGATCTCAGGGCGATGTACATTAGAAACACATTCCAAAACATCAGTGATAATCATAACAACAGTCCTCTCCAGCCTGCAAACTTCTCCAACCAGATGCTGTCCAGATGTTTTGGACTACAACTCCCATCAGCCCCAGTCAGTGAAGGTTTTGCGCTCTCACATCAGTTTCAGCGTCATACAGCTGGCCAGGGCTGATGGGAATTGTAGTCCAAAACATCTGGAAGGCACCAGGTTAGATTACAGTCTCTCCTGCCAAGGCTCATCTTGCCAGACTGCTGGATGTCAATTTGTCGGGGAGGCTGCAATGTGAGGATGCACTTGGCCCATGGCTCCTTGGCTCCTAAGTGGCAGCAGATCCAATGCAAAAGGAAATCTTCATCTTTTACACTTGCAGAAATCTGCACAAATCACTTCTATGAAATGCCTGCTATGTTCCCTGTTGCAACATTATGTACACAGTGCCTTCTTTTTAAATTATTATCTATAAATATTTTTATCATGTATACAAAAGAATAAAAATGTGAACTAAGAAATAAGTGGTGTCGCTCTCGCCAAATTAAATTTTAGGGCCAGAAAGAAATATGGCAGCAGGAACAACTTCAGCACTCACCCAGGCGTGCTGGCCCAATGAGGGCTGGACATGCTAACCTGAGACAGCAGCAAGCCAAACTCTCATGGTGAGCTGTTTGCATGTGACGAGGCACATGTCAGGACACTCACCCCAGGGGCATGTGATTTAACTGTGGCCACAGCCAGGCCTGTTTCACCTCTAAAAGATAAGTTTCTCTACATGCCGTACAGATATACACTACACCCAACATTTACAGTGTGTGATTTCTTGAAGTTTACAGCACAGGAAGCAGGCTGCCTAACTCTCCATGATATAGAAAACAATCACTCAAAATGATTATCTTTCAGGCAGATGACCTTGCAATCCAGGAAAAGGCTGTGGAGCAAAGTACACCAGCAGCCACAATAAAAGGTTCTGAGTATACGGGAGGGACTGTGGGGCTACTGCATTGTCCTCTGTCGCTTGGCATCAAGGGGGGCCTAGATTTCCAGCAATTCATCTGAGGCCTTCACTTTCATTGCTGGATCTTTTGGCCAGCTCTTGGACAGGTTTAGCCTGTGTAGGAAAGAATGGCTTTAGGGAAGAGGAATCCTGAGATACTGGCAAGGGCCATGCCTCGCTGTTTCCTGGAGCAGGAGCACCAGCTGAGTATTGCCAGGTATGTCGTCCAGGAGCTCCATGCAACTCAGATGCTGCACTCACCTGTCCTTGTTTGGCTCTGCTGGACTGCCATGGGCTTCAAGATCTTCTTAGCATCACTTGCATAGCAAGGAACATTGTATTTGGCACTGGAGGTCTTGATGATGGCACCTCTTTTCTGAGCATCTTGAATCAAAGCACTCCAATCTTCATTTTCCTACAATGGTTTTTATTTTATTTTAAGAAACAATAAATTATTAGGACAGGAGACTGGGCAGGTGCGGTAGTGACGGTTTATAAACAAGAGTTGGGAAAATTCATGGATTCGAAGTTAATCCTGCTGCCTCAAAGTAGAGGCTGTTGTAGCTTGCTCCCAGTTCTCTTTTCTTCGAAGGCAGGGACAGGAACCTGGTGACCAAATCAGTCCCCCCCAGCATTCCCAGTCAGCCCACCACCCTTCAACTTGTCAATCCCACCTGCTCCCTCTGAGGAGATTCTTCTAACTTCTGTTGCACTGCAGGAGAGGGCGAGTGCGATTGTGTGGGTCTCTGGCTCCATCTGCTTTTGGAGTATGCCTCTCAACAGCATTCCACAAGGAAAAATGGAGGAGACCTTAGCTTGAAAAAGACTGGCTAAATTAATCTGAAATACTAAAGACCACTAATAATGGGTGTCAGTAGAAATTAGGACACAGAACTTCCTTTCGATTTTTGATACATTTGTACATAGGCTACAATTATTCTTCCCTCCTCACTGCAGCTATAGAACCACCAGTGACAGAGAAACAAGTATTGTTTAATGCAAGTCCACTAACAACTCTGCCACTTTACAGGAGCAACAGCAAACCATCATCACCAGGACTTCCAAATGGAGAAATCTGGATTGGAGGCCCTCTAGTGGCAAAGTCATTGCAGTACAAGACTGACAAAAGTGACCATAATAAGACTGAGTGCATACGTATGTGAGTGATTGTGATTTCACACAGAAAAGTGGCAGGATGGGAAAGAGGGTGCTGAAGTCTCCCCCACTCCACCTACTTTTCTCCCGACAGGGCTCACTCCCAGTCCAAGAGCCTGGCTGGGAGAAAAGTGTCAGGATAGAGAAGAGTCTGATGGCGCAGAAGCAACTGGCATGGTAGAGAACCCGATCCCTTTCTCTGCTTGAAATAAACCCTCCCCACCACACAGTTTGGCATGTTAAAACACTGAGACGAGTGGAGAACTTCTGTGGCCCTCTATATGCTGCTTAACTACATCTCCCACCATCCCTTGACCATTGGCTATGCTGGCTGTGGCTGATGGGAGTTGTACAACATCTGTAGGGCTGTAGGATTCCCAGTCCCTGCCCTTACAGCCTCTCACGAACAACCTTGGTGGATCAGATCAAATGGTCCACCCCCTGAAGTGCCATGCTTGTCTTGCATGAAAAATAGCAGTGGTGGGGAAGCTGTGTTGTTGGGTTCCAATTCCCACCAGCCCCAGCCAGCATAGCTAAAGGTCAGAAGACGGGAGTTGTAGTCCAGCAACACTGGGAGGCAGCAGAGCTTCCTTAGCTCTGGAATATAGTATTGCCAGTTTAAGCTCAATTGTGGAAAGACCTAAAGTAACCTAATTGTTTTATAATTTATGAAACCTGAGTTTCAGGTTCCTCTGGGCACCCACAAGGAGACAGGGCCTTCTCAGTGGTGGCTCCCTCTTTGTGGAATGCCCTCCCTGGGGAGCTATGCCTTTCTCCCTCATCATTGGCTTTCAGGAGGCATTTGAAAACATGTTTGTTTAGCCAGGCACTTTTGGTGGTTGAAGAACACTGTTCCTAGCAATGCTGAGATCACTGGATGAGAGAAAGGTCCCCCCAGATTTTTAATCGTAGCTGTTTTTAGAATGCTTTAACATTTATTCTGTGTGTGGCATGTTTACCACACTGGGCTCATTTGGGCAGAACATAAATTCAATAAATAAGCAAATGCTGCCCAATATTTCCCCTAACACTGCTGATTCAAAATACATAATTACTAACGACACCTTTTGGCCAGCCTGATGCTTTCCAGATGTTTTGAACTACAACTCCCACTTGCCACAGCCAGCAGAGCCAACGTGTGCCCTCTTTTGCAAGTGTGGGCAGAGGGCCCAATCTATACAGGTTACTGTGCTCAGAAAATCCTGTGGGCACCCCTGAATCCTGTTATGCTCTCCTTCCAAACAACCCTATGAAGTAGGCTTGATTTATAGCTTTTGGAGGTGATATGGGGAGTTTGTGTGTGTGTATAAATCCAGGTGTCTTTGGGCCAAGCCCAGGACACCACCATTAACCCTCCACAAAGGTGTTTATTTCTTCTTCCACGTACCATGAGCGTTTGCAGGTGTCCAAGGATGAAGAGACTGTACTTGGCTCGGGTGATGGTGATATTCAGTTGCTGCAGACTCTTCAGAAACCTAGTGTCAGGGAGAGGAAGACGGGAGAAGATTTAAGAACAGAAACCAGCACTTATAGAGAGCCTAAAGAGATCATTAGCAGCCTGTCGTCTGACAGCGAGTCAGAGGCAGGGGGGGAGGAGGATGAGCCTGGAACAAGTCATTCTGTACACAGAGGAAGTCAGGGGCGGGGTTTCCGCAGACTTGCATGCTGGGTAAAAAAAAGGGGGGGAAAGCAGACGCGGCAACTGTGCCAAAGGGGTCGGACGTTAATTGAAACACTGGAGATGTACTTTTGAACTTTGTCAATGAATCAAATAGATTGGAACTGGCCGTGAGCCCGGAGTTTTATCTATGCCGGCTTGACAGCATAAAGCCTCTGACACCTAGGGATGGGAAAAAACCCTGTATGTAAGGCTGGCTCAGGATGGGCAGCTATGTCCACAGTGCCCTACTAGCTACCACTGTGGGGTTCAACTAAATCCCTGTTTAAATTTCAAAGGCTTTAAAAAAGTTTCAGGCATTCCCACCAAGGAGGAATAAATCTTAAAATCTGTCCATGCTCTGCTTTTGCAATTTCAGCTGCCCCTACCCGCCGCCATGTGGCTTCAAAGCGCAGACACCCCCACCACCATAAAAAAGCACATGTGGAAAGGAAGTGGGCTGGTGGTGGAAACCAGCTTCATTCCACGTCAGGACCTTCAGCTGCCTATCCAGCACAACCTGTTGGTGGAGTAATACTATTTGTTGTGATTCAGGTGACTTGAAAAACAGAAATGCATCATTAGCACAACAGTGAAATTTTTTCTCCTTCTAACCCCCCCCCCAAACTTTTAAATAAAATAATAAAAAGAAGTCCAGCCCTGCTTGCCTGATTTCAGCCCCTTGTGAGTTATTCCTGACCTGCTCTCGACTCCCACCTTGACACTTGAACAGCAGTTCTTCTGGGGCGCATCTAAAAGCACTGGACCCAGAGAAGCCAGGAGCCCTCTGATAGGGGCTCCCCATTTTGTGACCCATCTGAAGCTACAGAAGAGGAGAGGCAAGAGGGTGTCTGCACTCTGCCCTCCTTTCTGCCCCAAAGCCCAATGTTTCCTTCTGGCCTTGCCAACCCCTCAACTTCCCTGTTCGCCCACCTCCCAGATATATAGTTCAGTTGTAAGCTGACAAAGTGCCCCTCACCTTCAACACACACTGCACCTCCACTTACAATATGAACTTCTGGCTTCAAGATCTGGCTTTTATTGTGTGCTACCCTAGACTGCCATTAGGTTCCTTCCAGGCAGTTTGACAGAAGGGCACATACACACAGTTTTTGGGTTGTGGGACAGGCAGGCACTTTCACATCCTGCTATTTTTTCTGGAAGAGCCAGAAGAGTTGCTACCACTGGTTAGAGGCCCCTCTTCTCCCCCTCCAGCTAGATACAGTGGAAGCCCCCTCCCAGATTCGCCAACATAAGGAATTGTAAATTCATTGGGATAAGGGAGGTGAAATGAGGAAGCTAACACAGCCTTGGCCCTGCCAGAGTGCCACACTTTGGGAACTCCTCTCATAAGATCCCTTGCGGGCATCACAGGTGGTCAAGAGTGGAGTACAAGACCACCATAGGGGCTCCAACACCCCTTGTTCCAACCTTGAATTGTGGACAGTGGCCCACATACTTGACCACCCCAAGGATCACATCTTAAGTGTCAGAATTGCCAAGTTGAGGCACCTCAGTTGTCACCTCGCACTATGACAGCAAAGTCTTACCCAACTGATCCTTGCATGCTGTTCACTCGAACACAGGACACAATGATACAGTCCTTCTCACGGCCCTGGAACCCATCCACGAGGTCAACTTCCCCAACTCTGTAGAGAAAAGGAATGTCGTATGGTGCCATCCTAAATACACTTCTCTCTTTACCGCCACCACTCATCCCCAAAAGAGAGGTGAAACTGATTGAGAAGGAAACAAACCACACTTTTATGAAGTTAAAGAAAACTCCACACTTCTTGTCTGAAATAGAAAACTATGTAAACAGAGAGAGAGCAAGCGAGGGAGCACATGGTAGATTGGAGAGATTACTTGAGACAGTAGGTGGGCTGTTGCGCCTCACTTTTCTCATATGTAAAATGGGACTATAACCTGTATTTTACACACTGCTGTTGCAAGAACAAATGAGATGGGGGGGGGTTGTGGGAATGTTAAGGATAGTAGGAAAGGATATATTGAATAAGTATTATCCTTCCTTCACTCATGCTAGTAAGTGATGTAGCAGAGCAGATTCCCCTCAATATACCTGGAAGCTAGCTTGCGGATTCGTTTGAAATATAAATTTTATTTATATCCCGCCCTTCCCAGCCGAAGCCAGGCTCAGGGCGGCTAACAACAATAAAATAATGCAACATTAGAAACCATTTCATTCTAAAATTAATTCAAATCAAATTGATGGCAACCATTGGGCTAGAGTTCTGTGAAGATTGCCAAAGGAGGAGTCAGGCTGTGCCCTGGCCAAAGGCCTGGTGGAACAGCTCTGTCTTGCAGGCCCTGCGGAAAGATGTCAAGTCCCGCAGGGCCCTAGTCTCTTGTGACAGAGCGTTCCACCAGATCGGAGCCACAGCCGAAAAAGCCCTGGCTCTAGTTGAGGCCAGCCTAACCTCTCTGTGGCCCGGGACCTCCAAGATGTTTTTGTCTGAAGACCGTAAGTTCCTCTGTGGGACATACCAGGAGAGGCGGTCCCGTAGGTATGAGGGTCCTAGGCCGTACAGGGCTTTAAAGGTTAAAGCCAGCACCTTAAACCTGATCCTGTACTCCACCGGGAGCCAGTGCAGCTGGTATAGCACCGGGTGAATGTGATCTTGCAGCGAGGACCCCGTAAGGAGTCTTGCCGCGGCATTCTGCACCCGCTGGAGTTTCTGGGTCAGTCTTCAAGGGCAGCCCCACATAGAGCGAGTTACAATAATCCAGTCTGGAGGTGACCGTCGCGTGGATCACAGTGGCTAGGTCAGGGCGAGAGAGGTAAGGAGCCAACTGCTTAGCTTGGTGGAGATGAAAAAATGCTGTCTTTGTTATAGCTGTAATCTGCGCCTCCATGGAAAGGGAGGTGTCGAAGATTACACCCAAACTCTTAACGGACGGTGCTGGCACTAATTGCGGCCCTGTAAGAGATGGGAGTTGCCCCCCCCAATCCTATATCGTCCCGACCCAGCCAAAGGACCTCTGTCTTCGAAAGATTTAACTTCAACCGACTCCCACATAACCATCCAGCCACAGCTTCCAAACATCTGGTCAGTGTGTCTGGGGCCGAGTCAGGATGGCCATCCATCAACAGATAGAGTTGGGTGTCATCAGCATACTGATGGCAGCCCAGCCCAAAACTCCGGACAAGTTGGGCGAGGGGGCGCATAAAGATGTTGAAAAGCATCGGGGAGAGTATCGCACCCTGAGGCACTCCACACAGCAAGGAGTGGCGCGATGACAATTCCCCCCAAGCGCCACCTTCTGTCCCCGACCAGAGAGAAACGAGCGCAGCCACTGAAGGACTGTGCCCTGGATCCCCACGTCGGTAAGGTGGTGGTCCAGAAGTTCGTGATCAACCATGTCGAAAGCTGCTGACAGGTCTAGAAGAATCAGCAGCCCCGACCCACCTCGATCCAGCTGCCTGCGGAGATCATCTGTTAGGGCGACCAGAGCCGTCTCGGTCCCATGACCAGCGCGGAAGCCGGACTGGAATGGATCCAAAGCCGATGTTTCATCCAGAAACCCACCAAGCTGTTCAGCAACCGCTCTCTCAATCACCTTACCCAGGAATGGAAGATTCAAAACCGGGCGGTAATTGGATAGATCTAAGGGATCTAATGATGTTTTCTTTAAGAGCGGACGCACCACTGCCTCCTTCAGTTCCCCTGGGAACGTCCTGGTGCCAAGGGACAAATTGATGATACCCCCCAGGGGGGTCCGCACCTCGTCTGGACACGCTCTAATCAGCCAAGACGGGCACGGGTCAAGAGGACAGGTGGTGGGCTTTCCAGCTCGGAGGAGTCTGTCCACATTGGCTGGGGATATCCGGTCAAAGTGGTCCAGTACTGGACCCGAGGACAGTCGAGGGGCCTCCAGTTCCGTTATTGTATCCAAATTGGCAGGGAGGTCACAGTGGAGCAACAGGACCTTCTCCGCAAAAAAGCTTGCAAATGCCTCACAGCTGTGTGTCAAATTGTTATTTAAATTTGGCTGTCCCTCGAGGGACGTTAAAGACCTAATTATACTAAATAATTGCGCCGGGCGAGAGCTAGCGGATGCAACGGAGGCCGAGAAGTAAGACTTCTTAGCGGCCTTCACTGCCATCTCGTAGGTTTTCATAAAAACCCTATAAGATGTTCTTGAGGCTCCGTCGCGGGCACCCTGCCATTACTCGCTCTAGCCGTCTGAGGTCCCGCTTCATTTTCCGGAGCTCCTCAGTAAACCAGGGAGCCTGGTTTCTGCGGGGTCGCATTTGATTATTATGGGCACCACTCTGGGCAGCTCCCAACAGATTAAAAACAGAATAAAACATCAAACATTAAAAACTTCCCTAAACAGGGCTGCCTTCAAATGTCTTCTAAAAGTCAGATAGTTGTTTATTTCCTTGACATCTGATGGGAGGGCATTCCACAGGGCAGGTGCCACCACTGAGAAGGCCCTCTGCCTGGTTCCCTGTAACCTCACATCTTGCAGTGAGGGAACCAGCAGAAGGCCCTCGCAGCTGGACCTCAGTGTCTGGGCTGAACGATGGGGGTGGAGATGCTCCTTCAGGTATACTGGGCCACGGCCATTTAGGGCTTTAAAGGTCAACACCAACACTTTGAATTGTGATTGGAAACATATTGGGAGCCAATGTAGGTCTTTCAAGACTGGTGTTATATGTCCAAAAAAATCTCTCCCTGGAGTTATAGAAAAGATTCAAAATTTGGGGAAGTGGCAGGATTTAAAGTAAATAGGAATAAAACTAAATTATTAGTCAAAAGTTTGGAGGAAGAAGAGAAAAAAGAGTTGGAGCAAAATATCGAGATAGAAGTCCATAAAAGGGTCAAATATTTAGGGATATGGTTAACATCAAGAAACATAAATATTTACAAAGATAATTATGAAAAAGTGTGGCTCGAGATAAAAAGAAATTTAGAATTATGGAGCAGAATGAACCTCTCCCTGCTAGGAAAAATAGTAGCGGTAAAAATGAATGTTTTGCCAAAAATGCTATTTCTGTTCCAGTCAGTCCCAGTAATGGTAAAAGATGATTGCCTTAAAAAATGGCAGAAGGAAATTTCAAAGTTTATCGGGGGGGGGGGGGCGCAAAAGGCCAAGGATAAAGTATAAGTTACTTACAGATACAAAAGAAAGAGGCGGTTTGGCCTGCCCTCCCATACCTTAAATTGTATTATGAGGCTGCATGTTTGGTATGGATTAGGGACTGGATAAAGCTGGAAAGGAAGAAGCATTGGATTTGGAAGGTCATGATAATAGATTTGGATGGCATGCATATCTATGGTATGGGAAAGGAAAAGTACATAAAGGATTTTATAATCATATAATTAGGAAATCATTAATGAGGGTTTGGGAGAGATATAAAGATTTAATAGAACAAAAGACACCTTGGTGGCTCTCACCACTTGAAGCTTTGCTGCTCAAGCCACTTGGTAAAAAGGAAAATGGCTTACATACAGTGATTTACTAAAGGACCGAGAAGGAAAATGGAAGCTAAAAGAGTATGATGAAATAAAAGATCATTTTCAGAGTTGGTTACGTTACAAGCAATTACACAAGATATACAAAGAAGACAACAAGAAAGGATTTAGTTATACTACTTCTAGATTTCAAAAGGAAGTGATAGAAGGAAAAGTGAAGTTGCTGAACGGTGCATATAGTATTCTGCTAGAATGGGAAACAAAAGATGAGGTGAAATCGGTCATGATCAAATGGGCACAAGATATAGGACATAATATACAATTTGAAGATTGGGTTAAATTGTGGAGAATAGATTTAAAATTTACAGACTGTTCTCTTTTGAAAGAAAATTATATGAAAGTGATGTATAGATGGTATATAACACCAGTACAGATTGCAGGAATGTATAAAACCGGGTCAAATGTATGCTGGAAGTGTAAAGAAATAGAAGGGACTTTTACCAAATGCGGTGGGAATGTAGAGAAATTAAAAATTTTGGGAAATGATATATAATGAGTTGAAGAAAATGCTTAAATTAACATTTGTAAAAAAACCAGAAGCACTTTTGTTAAGGATTGTAGGGAAAGACCTGCCAAGGAAAAGAAATAACTTATTTATGTATGTGACAACAGCGGCAAGAGTCTTGATTGCACAAGGATGGAAGAATGAGGAAATCCTGACAAAAGAACAGTGGCAAGAGAAACTGATGAACTATGCAGAACTGGCGAAATTGACATGCAAACTACGAGACAAGGACAACTGTGACCTCAAAGAAGAATGGGAACCTTTTACAAATTACCTAAAAAAACAACAAAATGAATTGGACTCCCTGGCAGGTTTTGAATAAACATACACAAATTTATTGAGGGATAACATAGAAGATAGATAATATAAGGATGTATACAGTTTTATAATATGCGAAAGTTAACACTGGATGAGAAATCAGAGAGGAGCTGAGGGAAGTCGTAGGGGGGAGGGAGGGAGGGTTTGTTGGGGAGGTGGGAGGGGAAAAATGGGGGGGGAATAAGGAAGATGATTTGTTTTTTTTTGTTTTTTTTTTCACAAGGGATAAATAGAACTTTATTTAAATAAACATTTGTCAACATCTTTTTACAAATTACAAGTCCCCGTGTCCAAGATGATTTGCTTAGATAATTTGCTATGTTGAAATTGTTAATAAAAAAAATTCAAAAAAAAAGAAAGAAAAAAAGACTGGTGTTATATGCTCCTGGCGGCCACTCCCAGTCACCAGTCTAGCTGCCGCATTCTGGATTAATTGCAGTTTCTGGGTCACCTTCAAAGGTAGCCCCATGTATGAAGGAAAATCAGAGTTCTTTAAGAAGCTACACGAGACTCTGATGGACTACATGGACTATAATATGATCTTGACAGGAGATATGAATGGAGTGGTGTCTACAAATATGGACAAGGCACAGAGACAGGTAGTCACCAAAGATGGTAGACTACCAAAAACTTTTTTTGACATGACTGAAAATATGGATTTAGTTGACATTTGGAGAATGAAGAACCCTCTGGGAAGAGAGGGAACTTTCTTCTCTGAGGCTAAAATGACATGGACAAGAATTGACCAAATCTGGGTAACCAGGGATTGGCTCCAAGATCAGCAAAGTGGAGATTTGCCCCAAAACTTGTTCTGACCATAATGCTGTTAAGATGGAAATGAAATTGACTCCAATTGGTTCCTTTAGATGGAGGATGAACGATACTTTGTTTAGGAATGAAGAGGTGACCAAGAAGGCCCCAAAAACTCTAAAAGACTATTTCGAGATAAACATGAATACTACAGTGGAAAAAAGAGTAATTTGGGACGCAAGCAAAGCGGTTATGAGAGGATTCCTAATACAACAGAATGCAATTAAGAAGAGAACTCAGAATGAAAAAAAGGACAAAATCCTGGGGGAAATAAAGGAAGGAGAGAAGAAACTGAGAGCAAAACCAAAGTCACAGGAGATCCTGAAAGAGATAAAGTTATACCAAGTACAATATACGAAGCTGATGAATCAGGAAAGAGAATGGAAGATTAAACAGATGAGGCAAAAGACATTTGAATCGGCAAATAAGTGTGGAAAATTGTTGGCCTGGCAAATGAAAAAAAGACAAAAACTTAATACTATTACGAATTTGGAAGTGGAAGGAAAGAATATACAGAACCCAGTGGAGATCAGGAAGTGTTTTCAGAGGTATTTCAGACAACCTTATACACAGGAGAAGCAGAAAGAAATGGACATTGATCGATTTTTGAAAACAAATGGACTATACAAAATCTCTCAGGAAAAACAGCTAATGTTGAATCACAAAATAACGGATCAGGAGGTGGAAGGGGCCATCCAGAACATGCAATTAGGTAAATCTCCAGGACCAGATGGTTTGACTTCAAGATATTACAGATCTTTGAAAGAATGGTTAATACAACCATTGAAGGAAGTCTGCAATGAAATATTGGAAGGGAGAAAGGCACCAGAGTCGTGGAAGGAAGCTTACATTACACTTATACCGAAAACAGAGATTGAAAAGACACAGCTCAAGAACTACCGCCCCATATCGCTGCTTAATGTGGATTACAAAATTTTTACAGATATTTTGGCTAAAAGATTAAAAAAGGTGTTAGTGGAAGAAATTCATAAAGACCAAGCGGGCTTTCTCCCGGGCAGACATTTGTCTGATAATATGAGGAATATAATTAATATTCTAGAAAAACTACAAGTGAATATCAATACTAAGGCAGTCTTGATATTTGTGGATGCAGAGAAAGCCTTTGACAACATTTCTTGGAGTTTTATGAAGAAGAATCTACAGGGGATGGGGGTAGGTCAAGGTTTTGAAAATGGTATAGGTGCAATTTATTCAGAACAAAAGGCAAAATTAATTGTGAATAATGTAGTGACAGAAGAGTTTAAGATTGAGAAAGGGACACGACAAGGTTGCCCAATTTCTCCATTGCTTTTTATATCGGTCCTTGAGGTTTTATTAAATATGATTAGAAAGGACCAAGAGGTTAAAGGTATACAAGTGGGAGCTAAACAGTACAAATTGAAAGCATTTGCTGATGACTTAGTATTGACTTTACAGGAGCCAGAATCTAGTACTAAAAGGGTATTGGAACTGATTCAAGAATTCGGACAGGTAGCAGGTTTTAAGTTGAACAAGATGAAAACTAAGGTTTTAGAGAAAAAACTTAACTGTGAATGAGAGAGAGAAGTTTCAGGAGGAGACAGGACTAACATTAGTTAAGAAAGTGAAATATTTAGGGGTTAACATGACTGCCAAAAATGTGAATTTATTTAAGGATAATTATGAAAAATGTTGGATTGAAGTGAAAAAGGATTTAGAAATATGGACAAATTTGAAGTTATCATTGTTAGGCCGAATTGCTGTGATAAAAATGAATGTGTTGCCAAGGATGTTGTTTTTGTTTCAAACATTGCAAATTTTGGATAAGATGGATTGTTTCAAGAAGTGGCAGAAAGATATTTCCAGATTTGTTTGGCAGGGCAAGAAGCCTCGAATAAAATTTAAGATATTAACTGATGCCAAAGAAAGAGGTGGATTTGCCCTGCCAGACCTTAAACTTTATTATGAATCAGCTGTTTTTTGTTGGCTGAGAGAATGGCTGCTTCTTGAAAACACAGACATTTTGGACTTCCTAGACTTCCGGGGTGGCGCCATCGGTAATGGCGGACTCCCTCTGATCTGGAGGGACCAGCTCTACGGAAATCGGGTCTGTTCCGCTACGGCGAAGCGGGGACCCTTGAAAAAATCACAGGCGGGTGAAGCCTGTGACCATGGGACTCGGCGGGCACCTTTTGCGCCCCCCCAATCTGCAAAGGAGTCCGATTACGGGCTCCGGAGTGAAGCGGGGAAGCGGCGCGGTGCTGTGAGTCAACTGCTTCTTCCGTGGAGCGAAGCCGCACAGCCGTTACCGGAGAGCGCTACCTTTTTCCTGTGACAATTTGACTACAAAACAACTATCCGTGAGTAGGCTAATTTGGGAAATAAAGGAGAACAAAGAATAAAGAAGTAATTCGATACCGAAGCGGAGAGGCATAAACAGGAAGTCTGCCTTCCGTTCTTTGTAAATAGAGTAAAGCAATGAACTTGTAAGCTAAAACCTTGAAAGACGCTTGAAAAGGACTAATTCTATCATCAAAACAAGCGATTTCCCCCCTTGACTGCAGGAGAGGAGGGGGGAAAGGTGTGAACTGTATTTCCCTGTAAAAAGAGAGAAAAGGAAGCTAAAATCCACCGCTTAAAACCTGGGAACGGACTGCCAATGAACAATAAGAATGCCGTACTGTGAAATGCGCTGTTGGTGAAAGTACTTTTTGACAGATAACTCTGCAAGTGAGATACAAGTGGGATACAATATTTCTGGCTGGCTTCTAAACTACAAGAAAGAAGATTCCACCTAAACATTAGGAAGAACTTCCTGACAGTAAGAGCTGTTCGACAGTGGAATTTGCTGCCAAGGAGTGTGGTGGAGTCTCCTTCTTTGGAGGTCTTTAAGCAGAGGCTTGACAACCATATGTCAGGAGTGCTCTGATGGTGTTTCCTGCTTGGCAGGGGGTTGGACTCGATGGCCCTTGTGGTCTCTTCCAACTCTATGATTCTATGATTCTTCTGGTTTCAAAGTAACTGGAAAATAACTGAAAATTGAAACTGTCGTCTATTTTGTGAACTGGGGGATTAAAAGAAAAAAGGTTATTTTTTTTAAGGTAACAACTTCGGACTGCTACTGTGTCCCCCTAGAGGAAGTTTGAAACTGTTACAATAACAACTGGGCCAGGGGAATTTTCCACTTCAAAACAAATTCTGGTCGTGGGATTGACCTTGGGCCTTATCTAGAGTGTTATGGCAAATGGAAAAGAGAAAATAGATTTGCTTCAGGCAAAAACAACGAGGTCTGGTAGATCATTTCGCCCAAACGTTGGGCTGCAGCAAAGAGCATCAACATCTGGCCCTTCTGGCTTACCAACAGGGGCTGCATTGGCACAATCTAAACCTAAAGGAATGGCATCCGAAGATGTTTTAGCTCAGGCACTAGGTAAAATTAATGAATCTCTGGAAAAACTAAGTAAACAAGTAGCTGAAGCATCAGTTAAAATTGATCAAAATACCACAAGTATCAACAATTTGGGATAGAAGGTAAATACTAACACAGAAACTATTGAGAAATTGCTACAGGAATCTATTTTGACCCGAAAGACAGCTGAAGAAGCAAAGGAAATAGCAGTTGCTGTAGAAGAGAAGATACCACCGATACACAAGCAACTTGAAGACCACAGGTCAATATTGTCTATGATTGAATTGAAGGAGAAGCAAACGAATTTGAGGATCAGGGCCGTACCTGAACTTGAGAAAGACAACTTGACTGACTTTCTTACGCAGGAATTTGCAGACTTTTGGAACCCAGATTTGGAGAAGGATAACTTTAAGATAGTGAGTGCTTTCAGGCTTGGAAGAGGAGGGAAGAAGAACAGGGTGAGAGACTGTTTGATCACCCTCCGAACAAAAGAGGAGAGAGACAAAATCTTGAGTCTGCACTTCCAGAAGACTTTGGAAATACATCAGTCAAAGGTGGAGATATTTAAGGACATTCCGAAATATCTTTTGGACCTTAGGTCCAATTATAGAGATCTGGTTGCCCTGCTGAGAAGCAACAAAATCATCTTTAGGTGGGAATTCCCCCAAGGCCTTTCCTTTAGCTTCAAAGGAAGAAAGATAAAAATAAGATCAGAGGAAGACAAAGAAAGATTTTTGAGAGACCATGGAGAAGACCTGCAGAAAGAAGCTGGAGAAGAGTCAAGAATACTAGAAAGAGGAATTTTAGACATACCAAGATTACCTTTTGAATTAAAAGACCGCCTGGATAAGGTGATACCACCGACAGAACAGGAACAGGCACTTGGTGCAGTTGGAGGAGAAGTAAAGTAACTACATCATGGCTCTGCAACTATTAAGCTGGAATTGTAATGGTCTCAACTCCCCTCAGAAAAGGAAATCTGTGTTTCATTTATTAAAAAAGGAACAATTGGACTTGATTGGTTTACAGGAAACACATGTAACAAGGCTACACAGGAAAGTATTGATCAATAAAAGACTGGGCCAGGAATTTATTTCCTCGGATAAAGTTAAAAAAAGAGGAGTAGTGATTTATGCAAAGGAGAGACTATTACCGAAATTTATCTTCAAAGATGACCAAGGAAGATTTGTGGCAATTGAAATTCAAATACAAGGAGAGAAATTCTTAATAGTAGGAGTTTATGCACCAAATGAGGGGAAATCTGAATTCTTTAAAAAGTTGCATGAGACCTTGATGGACTATTTGGACTATAATGTGATTTTGATGGGAGATATGATCGGAGTGGTATCTACACATATGGACAAGGCACAAAGACAGGTAGTCACTAAGGATGGTAGACTACCGAAAACATTTTTTGAGATGACAGACAACTTGGACTTAGTTGATATTTGGAGAACAAAGAATCCCTTGGCCAGAGAGGGAACCTTCTTCTCTGAAGCCAAACTGACATGGACAAGAATTGACCAAATATGGGTAACTAGAGGAATGGCACCAAAGACAAGAAAAGCGGAAATCTGCCCGAAAACCTGCTCCGACCATAATGCTGTTAAGATGGAGATGAAACTAACACCAACCGGTTCCTTCAGATGGAGGATGAATGATACCTTATTTAGAGATGAAGAAGTGATTAAGAAGGCCCAAAAAACCTTGAGAGACTATTTTGAGATAAATATGAACACCAATGTTGAAAAGAGTAATCTGGGACGCAAGCAAAGCTGTTATAAGAGGGTTCTTGATACAACAGAATGCATTAAAGAAGAGAATCCAAAATGAGAAGAAGGATAAAATATTGGAGAAAATAAAGGAAAGTGAAAAGAAATTGAGAGCAAAACCAAAGTCGCAAGAGATTTTGAGAGAAATAAAGTTACATCAAGTACAATACATGAAAATGATGAATCAGGAGATAGAATGGAAAATTAAACAAATGAGACAAAAGACATTTGAGTCGGCTAATAAATGTGGGAAATTGTTGGCTTGGCAAATGAAAAAAAGACAAAAACTAAATACTGTCACAAATTTAGAAGTGGAAGGAAGGAATATACAGAACCCAGTTGAGATTAGAAATTGATTCCAGAGGTACTTTAAACAACTATATACACAAGGGCCACAGAAAGAAATTGATGTAGACCGATTTTTGAAAACAAATGGATTACAAAAAATCTCTCAAGTAAATAAATTAATGCTGAACTATAAAATAACTGAACAGGAGGTAGAAGGTGCCATTCAGAATATGCAACTAGGTAAATCTCCAGGACCGGATGGACTGACTTCTAGATACTACAGATCCTTGAAAGAATGGCTAGTACAACCTTTAAAGGAAGTCTGTAACGAAATAATGGGTGAGAAAAGGGCACCAGAGTCGTGGAAAGAAGCGTATATTACACTTGTACCGAAAATAGAGACTGAAAAGACCCAGCTTAAGAACTACCGCCCCATATCACTGCTCAATGTGGATTATAAAATCTTTGCAGACATTTTGGCTAAAAGACTAAAAAGAGTCCTAATGGAAGAGATACATAAAGATCAAGCAGGCTTTCTCCCGGGTAGACATTTGTCTGACAATGTGAGAAACATAATCAATATTTTAGAAAAGCTACAAGTGAATATAAATACCAAGGCAGTTTTGATATTTGTGGACGCGGAGAAAGCCTTTGACAATATTTCTTGGAGTTTTATGAAAAAGAACATACAGGGGATGGGGGTAGGCCAAGGCTTTGAAAACAGTATAAGTGCAATTTATTCAGAACAAAAGGCTAAATTAATTGTAAATAACGTGGTGACGGAGGAATTTAAGATAGAAAAAGGGACACGACAAGGTTGCCCAATCTCCCCATTGCTTTTATATCGGTCCTGGAGGTCCTGCTGAACATGATTAGAAGGGACCAATTGGTTAAAGGTATACAAGTCGGAGCTAAACAGTTCAAATTGAGAGCATTTGCAGATGACTTAGTATTGACATTACAGGAGCCAGAATCTAGTACTAAAAGGGTTTTGGAATTGATTCAAGAATTTGGTCAGGTTGCAGGATTTAAATTGAATAAGTTAAAAACAAAGGTCTTAGAGAAAAACTTAACTGCGATTGAGAGAGAGAGGTTTCAGAATGAGACAGGTTTAACAGTGGTTAAGAAAGTGAAATACCTGGGGATTAACATGACAGCTAAAAATGGGAATCTATTTAAAGACAACTATGAAAAATGCTGGGCTGAAGTGAAAAAAGACTTAGAAATTTGGTCAAATTTGAAGCTTTCACTGCTAGGCCGTATAGCTGCGATAAAAATGAATGTATTGCCTAGAATGTTATTTCTCTTTCAAACATTGCAAATTTTGGACAAAATGGATTGCTTCAAGAAGTGGCAGAGAGATATTTCTAGATTTGTCTGGCAGGGCAAGAAGCCTAGCATAAAATTTAAAATACTAACGGATGCAAAGGAAAGAGGTGGATTTGCCCTGCCAGACCTTAAACTTTATTATGAATCAGCAGCTTTTTGCTGGCTGAAAGAATGGCTGCTTCTTGAAAACACAGACATTTTGGACTTAGAAGGTTTTAATAATGTATTTGGATGGCATGCATATTTGTGGTATGATAAGGTCAAAGCACATAAAGCATTTAAAAATCATATTGTCAGGAAAGCATTGTTTAATGTCTGGATAAGATATAAAGACCTACTGGAAAATAAAACCCCAAGGTGGCTGTCACCGATGGAAGCGAAAGCTCTGAAAAAGCTCAATATGGAGGCCAAATGGCCGAAATATTGGGAAATTCTGGAACAAGAGGGAGATAGATTGAAACTGCAGAGTTTTGAGAAACTAAAAAACAAAGTGCGAGATTGGCTTCATTATTATCAGATAATGGAGGCATACAATTTGGACAAGAAAATAGGCTTCCAGGTGGAAAAATCAAAATTAGAAACAGAACTGTTAGAACCCAAAACTAAGATTTTGTCAAAGATGTATAACTTGCTGTTGAAATGGAATACTCAGGATGAAACGGTGAAATCTGCTATGATTAAGTGGGCACAAGATGTTGGACATAACATAATGATGGCTGACTGGGAACAGTTATGGACCACAGGTATGAAGTTTATGGTGTGTAATGCCTTAAGAGAGAATATTATGAAAATGATATACAGGTGGTACATGACACCAGTCAAGCTTGCAAAAATCTATAATTTGCCCGATAATAAATGTTGGAAATGTAAAGAGACTGAAGGTACATTCTTTCACCTTTGGTGGACTTGCCCAAGATTTAAGGCTTTCTGAGAGATGATCTATAATGAAATGAAAAAGGTATATAAATATACCTTCTTGAAGAAACCAGAGGCCGTTCTCCTGGGCATGGTCGGCCAATTGGTGCCAAAGAAGGACAAAATTTTCTTTATGTATGCCACAACAGCAGCAAGAATACTTATTGCAAAGTATTGGAAGACACAAGATTTACCCAGTCTGGAAGAATGGCAGATGAAGGTGATGGACTACATGGAACTGGTGGAAATGACTGGCAGAATCCGAGACCAGGGAGAAGAGTCGGTGGAAGAAGATTGGAAGAAATTTAAAGACTATTTACAAAAATATTGCAAAATTAATGAATGTTAGAATGATGTCAGAATGAAATTAAGTGGTCTTAGCAGCCATGTTATAAAGGTGTACATAAAAATGGATTGTTAACAGATGAGAATCCAAAGTTATAATATATTAAGTTAAAGGATTAAGACAAAAACAAAGAGGAATGTTGTTATATGTTGGAATGAAGTTATATGGCTTTAGTAGAAATGTTATAAGGAATTAAGTACAAATAGATTAATAGAGTATTAAAGGGAAAAATAAGGTTAGAATGTGTTAAGATAATTATAGGATAGAAAACAGAGGAAGATGGAAAGGAATTGCTGAAACAATTAATAGAAGTGGAATACAAAAAGGGAGGTATGAGGAGGTCGTTGAAATAAGTGAATGAAAGATAAGATATTGAAATTGTTTGATGTGTTCTAAACTGTTTTTGTTTTGTTTTGTTAGTTTAATGTGTTAGTGTTATGTAGTGTTTTTGTATTGTATTGTATTGTTCATTTTTTTTATAGTGTTTAAATTGTTGGAAAAGTAATAAATATTATTTTTTTTAAAACAAAAAACAAAGGTAGCCCCATGTAGAGCACATTGCAATAGTTCAAGCGGGAGATAACTAGAGCATGCACCACTCTGGCGAGACAGTCCGCGGGCAGGTAGGGTCTCAGCCTGCGTACCAGGTGGAGTTGGTAGACAGCCGCCCTGGACACAGAATTGACCTGCGCCTCCATGGACAGCTGTGAGTTCAAAATGACTCCCAGGCTGTGCATCTGGTCCTTCAGGGGCACAGTTGCCCCATTCAGAACCACGCAGTCCTCCACACCCACCTGCCCCCTGTCCCCCCAAAACAGTACTTCTGTCTTGTCAGGATTCAGCCTCAATCTGTTAGCCGCCACCCATCCTGCAACCACCTCCAGACACTCACCCAAGACCTTCACTGCCTTCACTGGTTCTGATCTGGAAGAGAGGTAGAGCTGGGTAACATTCGCATACTGATGAACACATAGCCCAAACCCCCTGATGATCTCTCCCAGAGGCTTCAGATAGATGTTAGAAAACATGGGGGAGAGGACGGAACCCTGAGGCACCCCACAAGTGAGAGCCCAGGGGTCCGAACATCCATCCCCTAACTCCACTTTCTGAACACGGCCCAGGAGGAAGGAGAAGAATCACTGTCTAACAGTGCCCCCAGCTCCCAGGCCCTCTAGACGGTCCAGAAGGATGTCGTGGTCGATGGTGTCAAAGGCCGCTGAGAGATCCAGCAGAACTAGGAAACAGCTTTCACCTCTGTCCCTAGCCCGCCGGAGATCATCAACCAGCACGACCAAGGCAGTTTCAGTCCCATGATGAAGCCTGAATCGCAAATGGAAGGGATCCAAATGGTCCGCATCCTCCAGGCTTGCCTGGAGTTGTTCTGCAACCTGTTGGAAAACGCCCTGGGGAGGCTCCTTCAGATGGCAACTGAATGATGATCTGTTGAGAAGTTCATTAATTGTTAATAAGGCCCAAAAAACCCTAAAGGATTATTTTGAACTTAATATGAATCAAGGAACGGAAATAAGGATTATTTGGGAGGCCAGCAAAGCGGTAATGAGAGGGTTTCTGATACAACAAAACACAATTAGGAGAAAGTCACAGAATGAGACAAAAGATAAAATTATGGAACAACTAAACAATAGAGAGAAGAAGCTTAGAGGAAACCCAAAGAATTTGCAGAACCAAAAAGAAATTAAAGCCCTACAGGTTCAATATTCACAGTTAGTAAATCAAGAAATTGAATGGAAGATAAGAAGGATGAGACAAAGAAATTTTGAATCTGCAAATAAATGTGGAAAATTATTAGCCTGGCAACTAAAGAAGAGACAAAAACAAAGTACTATTACAAACATTGATGCAGAAGGAAAATCTGTAGAGAACCCTGCAGACATTAGAAAATGCTTTTACAAATATTATAAACAACTGTATAAAAAGGATAAAGAAGATATAGGGAAAATCGAGCAATTTATAAAGACTAATGGGTTGCAACAGATTCCAGAGGATAAAAAGAATCTACTAAAAGGTTTAATTACAAACCAGGAAGTGGAACAGGCAATAAATTCAATGCAACTTGGCAAGACACCAGGACCTGATGGTCTATCAGCGAAATATTATAAGACATTGAAAGACTGGCTCATTCAACCTCTGGTAGAAGTATCTAATTCGATTTTGGGAGGGGGCAAAGCACCTGAAACCTGGAAGCAAGCTTATATTACTCTGATTCCTAAACAGGGTCAAGATAGATCCAATGTTAAAAACTACAGACCAATCTCCCTACTCAATGTGGATTATAAAATTTTTGCAAACATACTGGCCAAAAGGCTAAAGAAGGTTTTATCTGAGTATATTCATAAAGACCAGGCAGGATTTCTGCCTGGAAGACATATGAAAGACAACATTAGAAATGTTGTAGATATTTTGGAAAAGTTAGAAGCAAGAAAGAGTTGTAAAGCAATGTTAATGTTTATTGATGCAGAGAAAGCCTTTGACAATGTTTCTTGGAGTTTTATGTTACATAATTTAGAGAGTATGGGGATAGGTCATGATTTTTTAAATGGTATTAAAGCGATCTATCTAGAACAAAAAGCCAAAATTATTGTAAATAATGTGGTTTCAGAGGAAATTAGAATTGAGAAAGGAACCAGACAAGGGTGCCCACTTTCCCCTCTGCTGTTTATTTCAGTCCTGGAGGTCTATGATTAGAAAAGATGAACAAGTCAAAGGTATTACAGTAGGTTCGAAACAATATAAATTAAAAGCCTTTGCTGATGATCTAGTTCTGACATTACAAGATCCAGATCCCAGTGCAGTCAAAGCACTGGAGCTGATACAAGAGTTTGGTCAGGTAGCAGGATTTAAATTAAACAAGAGCAAGACCAAAGTAATTGAGAAAAATCTGGATAATGAAGAAAGAAAACTATTACAAGACAAAACGGGCCTAGATTTTGAGAAAAAAGTTAAATATTTGGGCGTGAACCTGTCTGGGAAAAATCTGAACTTGTACAAAGATAATTATGAGAAATTATGGAATGAAATTAAGAGAGATTTGGAGATATGGTCAAATTTAAAATTGTCATTAATGGGCCGGATTTCTGTGATTAAGATGAATGTGCTGCCAAAGATGCTCTTCCTGTTTCAAGCCCTCCCAATTATAGATAATGCGAAATGCTTTAAAGAATGGCAGAAAGCACTCTCTAGATTTATCTGGCAGGGGAGGAAACCCAGAATTAAATATAAATTAGTTACGGATTCTAAAGAAAGAGGGGGATTTTCCCCGCCAAATTTAAAAATCTATTTTGAAGCTGCTGCACTTTGCTGGATTAAAGAATGGATGCAACCAGAAGACACAGATCTATTAGATTTGGAGGGATTCAACAATGTGTTCGGTTGGCATGCATATTTATGGTATGACAAGGTAAAGGCCCATAATGCATTTAAAAACCATGCAATTAGGAAATCGTTGTATAATGTTTGTATAAAATATAAAGAACTCTTAGAAAGAAAGACGCCCAGATGGCTTTCACCAATGAAGGCAAAGGCCCAGAAAAAACTAAATATGGACACCAAATGGTTGAGATATTATGATTTATTAATAGAAGAAGAAGGAGGTTACAAATTAAAACCATTTGATCAAGTTAAAGATAAGCTAAACTGGTTACATTACCACCAGATCAACGAATTGTATAAATTGGATAAGAAAAATGGTTTTGCTTATGAAAAATCTAAGTTGGAGACCGAGTTGTTGGATACTAAAGATAAAAATTTATCTAAAATGTACAAGCTATTGTTGGAGTGGCACACAAAAGATGAACAAGTTAAATCTATGGTGATAGATTGGGCAAGAGATGAAGAAAATAATATAATGTTTGAGGACTGGGAAAGATTGTGGAAGAAAGGGGTCAAGTTCACCGCATGTACTCTGTTAAAGGAAAATATAATGAAAATGATGTATAGATGGTATTTGACTCCTGTAAAATTAGCAAAGATATATCATAATTGTGACAATATATGTTGGAAATGTAAAGAAAAGAAAGGAACCTTTTATCATATGTGGTGGACCTGTCCCAAGGCGAAAGACTTCTGGGTAAAGATTTATAATGAATTGAAAAAAATGTTGAAATATACATTTATAAAGAAACCAGAGGCCTTTCTTCTTGGAATAACAGGTTTGGAATTGCCCAAGAAAGATGTTAAATTATTTTTGTATGCCACAACTGCTGCTCGTAATTTGTTAGCTAAAAAGTGGAAAACCCAATGATAGAAGAATGGCAGATGAAGATGATGGATTTTTCGGAGCTAGCCAACCTAACCGGAAGAGTCTGCGACCAGAAGGAGGAGGAGTATCAGGAAGAGTGGATTAAATTTAATGATTATCTAGTTAAATTTGTTAAGTTAAATTAACTGAAAACAGCTTGCAGATACTTGATTGGCTTAGGATTTTATTTATGTTAAGTGATGAATTAATATGTTTAATTCCATAAGGTGAGGATTTAAGGATGTTAATGTTGAAGTTAAATTTCATAAGAATTGGGATTTGGAAAACCGTTAAAAGGACATGCAGTGAAATTCAACCAAGGAGAAGCGAGGAAGTCACTTAACAAAGTTAATAAGTGTAATTTTCAATAAGGCTATGATTTATGTTTGTTGTGTTTGTTTGTTTATACAGTGGTGCCCCGCAAGACGAATGCCTCGCAAGACGGAAAAACCGCTAGACGAAAGGGTTTTCCGTTTTGAAGTTGCTTCGCAGGACGAATTCCCCTATGGGCTTGCTTCGCAAGACGAAAATACCTTGCGAGTCTTGAGATTTTTTTTTCGATTTTCCCCCCCTTTATCTAATCTGCTAAGCCTTTAATAGCCTTTAATAGCCTTTTAGCAGCTAATCCCCTAAGCCTTTAAGCCTTTAATAGCCGCTAAACAGCTGATAGCGCTAATAGCGCTAATCCGTCAATGGGCTTGCTTCGCAAGACGAAAAAACCGCTAGACGAAGACTCTTGCGGAACGGATTAATTTCGTCTTGCGAGGCACCACTGTAATATTGTGAAAACCAATAAAAAAAATTGGGGGGGGGGAAGGAAAACGCCCTAGGGATTTATTTACACACTATATACAGACTACAGCATAATGGTGTCCGTTCTTTTCCGAGAGAACAGAAGAAGTGAAAGTACAGTCCAAGGTACATACAACGAAAGAGAGATAAGGATGTCTTCCGTTCCCATAGTCTTCTCAGACAGGCATGTGATTTACAACAATCTCAAATGCAGCGACGGTGGAGTGAAATGCTAACACAGCCACCCGCTCAATCACCTTGCCCAAGAATGGAAGTTTTGAGACTGGGCAATAGTTGGCCATATGGGCTGGGTCCAAAGATGCTTTTTTAAGAAGCGGTTTAATAATTGCCTCTTTCAGTGGGTCTGGGAAGGCTCCCTCACAGAGGAAAGCATTCACCACCCATCTCCCAGCCCAGCACTTCCCAGCTTGCTTTTATGAGCCAGGATGGGCTGTCAAGGAGACAGGTGGTTGGTTTCACTTGTCTAAGCAGCCTGTCCACATCCTCGGAGGTAACAGATTGGACTTGATCCCACGCAACTTGACTAGACAGGACTCTAGCACTCTCCCGCCCCGGCCCTGCTGCCACGGTGGAGTCTACCTCTTCCCGAATCTGAGTGACTTTATCTTTCCTGGTGTCCCCTTTAATCCCTCTTCAAAGAATAAAGACACAAGAGTCTTTCTGAGTAAAGTAACAAAATGTTTACTCACATTTCAGTTCATTTGATCCCTGAAAGGCAGGCTTTACTTGGTAGTTACACAATAAAGAGTCTGAGTTCATCTCATATGGAGACTGAACTCATGTGCTGCTGGCTGAGAGCCAGCAGACAGCAAAATTACATTAAGACAACAAAATGGATGGAGGAGAGCAGCATGGCAGCAAAAGATAAACAAGAGAATAGAAAGCAAGTGAAGCAAGACAAACAAGACTGAGAAAATGGCCGCATGACTCGGCACTTTTATGGAGTCAGCCAGAGCGATGCCCATCTCCTAGGTCACATGCAGGGGAGGGATGCTCCACACCAGTGGAAGAGGACGTTACCCTGACTGGATGTCCCCCTGCCTGTGCCCACGCTAGGGAAATAAGAAATGTTGCATTTGACTGCACCAATGGATTACATCCCACAGGGATATTGTGCTGAGCTATCAGTATACAGACGCTTTACCGACTACCATCAACAAATAAGGAAGATCCCTGCCCCAGGGAACCAACAATGTACCGCACATTTTAGCAACAGGGAAACAACAGAGGGAAGTTTTTGTTTTATTAAATAATAAGTTCAGGGAAGTGAGAGATAAGGCTAACAAGGGATGACTACGCTCAAGCGTAGTCTCATTTGCTTGGGATGTACTTCATCAGCATGCAAGGCCTCACAAGCGACATCACTTTTGGAGGAAGACAGGGGGGATACTTACAGTGCTTTTGTACACCAGGAATGAGAAACCCATGGTCCTCCAGATGATGCTGGACGGTATCCCGCATCATCGCTGCCAACAGGCCATACTGCCTGGGACTGATGGGAGCTGAAGTCCAGCAGCATCTGGAGGGCCTATTGCACACTGAATGCAGTATTTCAACAACTTAATCGTGATTCAATTGAGAGTAAACTTCACCTCCAGTAACTTGACTGACACTCTGCTGAATCAAGAGGCCCAGTTAAAGGGATTTTAATGCCATTCAAGGCTTGTGAAATTCTTACCTATTTTCTCCAAATTCTTTCTCCAGCTGGCTCAGGATCCTTCTTTTCTGAGCACTGCATGGGGTGATGATCCCAATGTTGCGAAAGCTGATGTCTCTCTTTTGCTCTTAATTAACTTCATTAATTCTATTACCAGCTTAACTTCCTGGAGATTAATGAAGGAACTGAACAAGAAAGAAATAGAAGGGGAGGGAGAAAGGGATGAGCTGAAGGCCTTGTATCTGGATGTGTGCCTCATTTTAAAAGTTATCACAGATTCTCTCTCTTAGGGTTCTTTTGGGACATACACTCAAAGAACTGTAGAGTTGGAAGGGACCCCAAGGGTAATCTAGTCCAACCCCCCTGCAATGCAGGAATTCCAACTAAAGCACTCATGACAGATGGCCATCCAACCTCTGCTTAAAATCCTGCAAGGAAGGAGAGTCCACAGTCACCTGAGGGAGTCCATTTCACTGTCAAGCAGCTCTTACTGTCATAAAGTTCTTCCAGGTATATAGTTGGAGTCTCCTTTATTGTAACCTGAAGCCATTGGTTTGAGTCCTACCCTCCAGAGAAGGAGAAAACAAGCTTGCTTGATGAGGGGGATGATGAGGGGGATGGAGTGACTCCCCTATGAGGAAAGGTGGCAGCATTTGGGACTTTTTACTTTAGAAAACAGGCGACATGATAGAAATGTATGAAATTACACATTGTGTTTTAAGTTTTCATTGTTTTTATCTGTTAAGTTGCTTTGAGATTTGTTTGTGTAAAAAGGAGCTAACAAATGTAATTAATAAAAACAGTGTTGGCTTTATGTGGGATTTTAAATTTTGTTTCTTTATTTTACTCCTGCTAGCCACTTTGAAAAGTGCGACTACAAATTCACAAAGCAAATAAATGAAAAACTTACTTGCTCTCCTGTTCTTCCTGGCCATCCAAAACATCAAAGAGGAGGTACGGTAGGAAGGGCCATTCCAAAGAGAATCGGCTCTCTTCTGTCCATCTATAATGCAATGAGAAATCATAATAGCTTTTGAGGGGCCACTAGGGGCGCATCGGAAGATGGCTGACAATAACATCTCTCCGACCCACAGGGGGTAATTAGGAGGCTGGGATGGGAGTAAATAGCCTCCCTACCCCCCCCCCCCAGGATTGGGGGGGCTGCCCGTGCCTGCTATGCCCTATACCACCCCCAAATTTGAGGGGATGGGGGCACTAGGCAGAATGCCCCCCTGTGGATCTCGGCGCTCCTGGACGCCGTCTCTGATCCGCGCCGCTAGCTGCAAGAACTTCAAAAGGAACAAGGATGTTATTTATGAAAGTGATGATATATGGAAACCATCACGATATGAGGATTGGTCAAACGGAAAAATCCACACAGGATATAATTGGTGTTTATCTGCTTAAGGAGATTATCAGAAGAGATCATAAAGAAAAAGAAAAAATGTACAAATAAGATGAGATGTGGAAACAGCAAGATAAGACTGGATAGAATTATGAACTTTATTTGGACTGATTTGGATATGAACGCAGTAGCAAGAAGATGATCGGAATCCCCCTTCGAAACTTGAAATATGGGTCCCCTCAACAAAAATTTAAAATTCGGCTTTGTAATTCGGAATTTATGTGATGTGATTTGATTTGATTTGATTGGTCAGTTAATAAAAATTATTTATATAAAAAAAAGAGAAATCATAATAGCTTTTAAAAAGCAGTGTGCTGAGGTCTATTTGCTCAATTCTTCACTGCAGGAGGAAACACTATCCGTCACATAATCATTCACATGATGTTCCCCACATAGAGAAAACTAGCATGTCAGGGAGGTGGTGTGGGGGATGACAGAAACTGTTCTCCCTGATGTCATCATTTTCTACATGAAGGGGAATATTCAAACAGCATGACAAACATATTCAGTGAATAGCAGTGGAAGGGCAAAAAATCCAGAGGCTTATACAGAAAAATCCAGAGGCTTATACAACCTCTTACAATAGCAGAAATGCAAGTACGTTTAGAAAATAATCAAATTTCATGGCTGTTAGGATATCAGCCGAGATCATTTGTTACAAATACACAGATTAAAAATGAAGCTACAAGTAAACTAACAGAATATGAAAATATAGTAATAAGAGATAGCATTTCCCTTTGATACAAAACACTTATTGAGAACCAATTTTGCCCCCAACAAAATCTAAAAAGCTGGTGGGAATTAAATTGGGATATAAACACTGAAGAGGTTAAACAGAACAATTTATGGACAAAAGCACCATATAAATTTCTGTCAGCAACTATTAGGGAACGTTCACTAAAAACTGTACATGGATGGACTTTAACACCATCATTTTTAATATACAGTATATTAAAAAAGAAAGAACAAGAAAGTGGTTAGAATGGAAGAAAAAAATCAAAGTATCAAATTAGGTTGCTGGAAAGAGTCAGGTTTGAGGCCTATGATCATGCACAGAATTTTCATTCAACTAAGTACTCACCAGTAGTGTCAGAGCAAGTACATTCATTCACACAAACACACCAGATATGATGAGCTAAAGCAGGACCCTCCAGGTGTTGCTGGAATACAACCCCCACCATCCCTGACCACCAGCCAAAATTCCAGGGTAATGTGGAACTGATGTCTACACTTAGGTCACCTTTTCATGAAATGCCTGTTGCCTTGAGGCAAGGTAAAAAAATTAGTAAGATGTCTACACACCGGTCAGTTTTCAGGCCATGGTCGTAGATGTAATTGGAAGGGAAGAGGCAGATCTCTGGGTGCATCCTGTACTGAGTCCTCAAGCACAGGACTGGAAGCCTGTCACTGTGTTTTTCTTGGATTTGCCCATTCAGGTGTCTGCAGAGTCGGCCCATCAGAGACTGCCTGTAGCCGTAATCCTCAGCTTTCTGCCAAAGCAAGGGAGGGGAGGAGGAGTAAAACTTTCAGAGAATGGGTTAAGCACAGGCAGCAACAATTAAAGAACAAGAGATGAGAAGTAGAAGCATGCATATGTACTCAGTACTTGGTCTGGGCCCCCTTTGCATCAATTACTGCCTCAATGCGGCGTGGAATGGATGCTATCAGCCTGTGGCACTGCTGAGGTGTTATGGAAGACCAGGATGCTTCAATAGCAGCCTTCAGCTCTTCTGCATTGCTCGGTCTCATGTCTCAGAGGTCCAATATTGCTCTATTTGCAATCCTTGTTTTGCTGATTTCATTTAATATTCTAATTTTCTGAGATTGTTAATTTGGGGTTTTCATCAGCTGTACGCCATGATCATCACAATTATAACAAATAAAGGCTTGACATATCTCGCTTTGCATGTCATGAGTCTATCTCATATATTAGTTTCACCTTTTAAGTTGAATTACTGAAATAAATGAACTTTTCCACGATATTCTAATTTTCCGAGTTTCACCTGTATTTGAACTAGAGATTAGGAATGAGTGAACTATTCTGGGCTACCCAAGAGGCTTGGGAAACAGTCCCACAAAATAACCCAATCTTTTATTTATTTGAAAGTGGGAAAGATGGCAGCGTAAGAGGGTGCAGGAACCTCTCCCCTCTCCTTATGCTCTTTGCAGCATATCAGAACTAAGAGAAATGGTGGTGCTTGAGAAAAATAAAAGTCTCTCAAAGGCTACTGCTATGGGAATATCCCGTGATATACATATACAAAAATACATTCTTAAAGCATTGGCCCTATCTACTCTTGCCTCTGCCCTACCAGCCATTGGAGTGTCTCCCAGAAAAACAGTACTTGGTATATACACTTCTTTTTAACCAAAAGGGATGTTGTCTACTAACATGGTAATCACACAGGCTGATTTCACAGAAACTCACAGAATTGTGTAAATAATTTGATCAGATAAACTAATTGAATCATTTTCACCGTAGGCAGCTCATACACCATTAAGGACCTGATAGATGTTTTACTTCATTTATGCCAAAAGCAGGGTCATTAGATGCTTATAAACAGCCTGTCAGTTTTCAGCTCTACAACTTTTTCTGGGATAGTCAAAACACCTTAATTGTTGACATACTCACCATAGATTGAACTGTAGGAGGGAGCTGCTTTGGGTCTCCAACCAGGACCAGCTTTTTGCAGCCATGAATGAGTGGGATGATAGTTTCAACCTCACAAGCCTGCATGGCCTTTTAAAAAGACAAAGGGACCAGTTTAAATGAGAGAGATCGAGAGAGATCTTAAGATCTCGCCGCACAAGTCGCCTTGTATCAAATCCTGCTATACCACATCTGCAACTCATCCATTCTGACATAATAGCCTCCCCTGACCCTCTGGATCCAGTTTTCTTTCGATCCATAGAATCATAGAATCATAGAGTTGGAAGAGACCACAAGGGCCTATCCATAGCAGGGAGCTACTCAAGGATCTTGCTTAAAAAATAAATTCCTAGCTCTCCAACGTTTATTTGGTTGCCTCCAACTTCAATACAATTTGCTTTCCCTGTATGAGTACTTTGATATAGTTCAGCTTTCCCACCCCAGCTGGTGCCTTCCAAAAATGTTGGAACGACAAGTTCCATCAACTGAAGCTGTATCACATAATGCTAAACCACACATCTTAATGTTAGCGTGCAAACAAGACTAGTAGAACACTGGCTGCACCCCCCAAAATGGGGTAGATCACTGCCAGTTTTTAACTCTGTGAGTAGATCGCAGTCTCTTGGGAGTTGGCCACCCCTGGACTACAGCAACTGAATTCTGAAGTGTGTGGGGGGTTTTCTGTTTCTGTTTTTGTTTTTAAAGGGTGGCAGCAGCTTCTTCAACTTGAGATTTAAGTTACCTAGGCATGGAAGTCAAAATTTCCACCCTCAAAATGTGCAAAGCACTCATGACCAGGGCTAGGGATGGTGTCAACTTTCGCTAAATGGTACAACTGGGAACCTGCATGGTTGAAGACCGAGTGCTTTCAACTGATGGCCTACATTTATAATGCGGACACTTAATTTAGGCATCAGGCTGTCAGGTGAGAAGCGTGTCTTGGCAGCCTACAGCTGTTCCTATAATTCTATAAAGCTGTTACTATAGTTCTATAAAATTCCATGCTCACCCCTTCCTGCCCCAGGTATCTTTGGGTACGACTCCTCTGGAAGAATTTTCAATGAGGGGCATGCTGCTCAGCACCAACATGCTTGGACTGGATGAACAGCAAAAGGCAGGCTTTCAATGTAGTGATTAGGCCCAGGGTCAGAGAAAGAGGAGGCAAGCTACTGTGCTTACTGATTAAAGTTTTAAAAAAACAAAACCAAAAAAACCCCAACAACAAACTGTAAACCTGATTCATTGTAGAGGTGCAGAAAGAAAAAAAGGTTGCTTCGCAGATTATTCAGAGCTGTTTTCTGAGCTCAGGTTTACAGAAGAGAGTGTTTCTGGGTCTAAGGAATTTGTAAGCATTTAAAGCTCCTGAAGGGAGTTATGTACTCTGAAACGTATAGAGCAGCAACAGTAAAAATACATTTAATCAGTAAGCACAGCAGCTTGCCTCCTCTTTCTCTCTTTTCGTCTTCATGCACACACCAGGCCCACGTTACCAACCACTACAGAACAAGTGCCAATCAGGGATTTAGGTTTCCCCACTGTGACATGCTATTAGGGTTAGGCTGGTCAGGTGAATTAGCAGGTGATCATCTGGTTGGATCAAGTGGTTCATGGCCTCCCAGGCTTAGAGCTTGACTGGAGCTGCTTCGCTGACATTAATGTTATTTAGTACTTATGTAGCGATTTTCCATAAGCATTCAAAGAGCTTTCTGTAATTATGTAAAAGGTTCTTGCAGAGAGGGATTCCCTAAGGCTACTCATGGGTAGCTGACATGATGTCCTCCAGAAGGCAGCTGTCTTGTGTGCAGAAGGTCCCAGGTTCAGTCCTTGGCATCTCCAGGTAGGGCTGGGAGAGATTCCTGCCTAAAACCTTGGAGAGCTGCTGTAAGTCAGTGTGGACAATACTGAGCAAGATGGAGCAATGGTCTGATTTAGTATAAGGCACATTCCTATGTTCCTAAGGAGTCCCCAACCTTTTTGGGCTCAAGGGCATATTTGGAAATCTACTGTATTTTTCGCTCTATAGGATGCACTTTTCCCCCTCCAAAAATGAAGGGGAAATGTGTGTGCGTCCTATGGAGCGAATGCAGGCTTTCGCTGAAGCCTGGAGAGCGAGAGGCGTCGGTGCGCGTAGACCCCTCTCGCTCTCCAGGCTTCAGGCAGCTATCCACAAGCCTTCGGAGCGCAGCGGGTGTTCCCGCCGGGCTCCGAAGGCTTGCGGATAGCTGCCTGAAGCCGGATAGCAGCCTGCAGCCTGAAACCCAGGGAGCGCAATGTCAACTCCCGCTGCGCTCCCCCGGCTTCAGGCAGCTATCCGCAAGCCTTCGGAGCCCGGCAGGAACTCCCGCTGCGCTCGGAAGGCTTGCGGATAGCTGTCTGTTCTGGGTGCTGGGGTCGGGGGAAGCGCGAGCTTCCCCTGCCCCCAGCCCCGCAAGCTCCAGGAGTGGCGGCGAGGTTGCGCGCAATCTTGCCGCCGCTCCTGGACCTGTTTTGGGGGCTTCCCCCGCCCCAGCCCCACGGCTAAAAACGAAGCCGCGCACAGCCTCTCCCGGCTGGAGAGGTTGCACGTGGCTAAAGAGGAAGCCAAGACAGCCAGCGGGATGGATCCCACTCGCTGTCTTGGCTTCTTTGCTCTTTGGAGCTGGGGGGGGGGAAATATTTCCCCCCCTTTATTCCCCCCCCCCAAAAAAAACTAGGTGCACCCTATGGTCCGGTGCGCCCTATGGAGCGAAAAATACGGTAAGTAACAGTTAAGGACACAAGAAAATACTTATTTCACAAAAGAAAAACTGGCAATGATCTGACTCCCCCGTCTGCCCACCCACCCCCCTTTGGCAAACCACCTATGCACGCCTTGAAATAAAAAAGAGGAAAAAAGCAGGCAACACCACTAAAAACAGTCAAAACACATCAAACCAAAAAGCTGCCTTGAGGGCTTTTAATGTCAGAAGAGGGTGCTGGTGGTGGGGAAACATTTGTATAAATACAAAACAAGGCAGCCAAAGTGAACAGGGCTGTTTCTGCAATCTGTAAAAGGTACTAAAGACACCCTCCATCCTCCTGCCCCAAATATGCCCTTGCTACTGTAGTGCCTATATCCCCCACTAACCATGTCCACGATGACGCAACTCAGAGGATCACAGTCCAGCCGCTGGAATACTGCACCCAGCAGGCTGCTCCCACTGGTGCTCAGTGTGCAGCAGATGATGTGAGACTCCAGGATGATGTTCGTTTTCATGTCGCTTTGCGATCGCCCACAAACCTGGGAAACACAAGAGCCAGGAACTTCCTTTTTAAGACCACCTAATTTTTAGACAGAGACCAGTTTTCTTTCAGCTGCCTGTTTTGTTTTTGCAACAGCAGCCATGGTCAGGCAGGCAAAACAAGTCCATGCTCAGTGTGTGGTTGAAGATGAAGTCAGCTGCTTTTAGAAGAAGAACTGGATTGGATGCTAAAATGACAGGCCATAGTTCTGTGAAGGGGTACCCATTTTGCATGCAGGAGGTGTCAGCTTCAATCGCCAATATCTCCAGATAGGGCAAACAATACTGACCAAGTTAGATCAATGGCCTGACTCAGTATAAAGCAGCTTCCCAATGCTCCTATGACTCAGGATAAACACAGCCAAATACCTGCTTAGAGTCCGTATGAAGGTGTATGTGTTCACCCATGTGGTGCTCAGGAATGCAACAGTGCCCCTTAGAATTTCTCTCGGTGCCCACCAAGCCACAGCCTCACCTTCTATGGCATGAGGTGGTGAGGAAAGTTACCCTAACCCAGCTTGGAAAGCACATAGGGTTGTATCCAATCCAGTGAATGAACATGACGAGCCCATTAGGCTCATTAATCTAAATGGGTAAAAATTAATTGTCTACAGTCCATAGAGCTGAAAGAGGAAGTGGGAGAAAGCCACCAGTGCCCAAGCCTCCCATGCCCAAGCCAAACGCAAACAAACAAACAAGCAAACCAGCCCCCCCCCCAACCCAGACATTTCCTTTAAAATGTAAAAATCCCCCGGGGTGGGCATGTTGGCCCAACAAAAGATGACATGTCCAGGATTTCCCAGACCTATGGCAACCCTAGTCTATGATTTGGCTGAGATAATGGCACGTGGCTGATGTGCAACAGAGTAGCAGCACAATCAGTGATCTGTACTAACAGGAGAGATATTCTGATTTCCTAGCTGGAGCTAATCCAAGACACAAGCACTTTTTTGCATGATGAGATGAAGCAGTTCACCAAGGTTGTTTTTAAGAGCATCTTAGTGATGAAACTCATACCTCCTTCAGTTGAACAGTGAGCCTCTTGCTCTCTTCTGCAAGCCTGCGAGTTTCCTGCTCTAACTGTTGTTTCTGAAAGAAAGATGAGGTGGGTGGGAATTTACTCGTTTTTGACATGAATACTCAACCAATCATGGGGAAGGGCATAGCTCAGTGGTAGAGCATCTACTTTGGATGCAAAAGGTCCCAGATTCAATCCCCAATGGTATCTCTAGGTAGGGCTGCCAGGTAACCCTGTCTGAAACCCTGGAGAGTTGCTGCCTGTCAATGTTGACAATAATGAGCTAGATCAGGCTTCCTGAACCTCAGCACTCCCGATGTTTTTGGCCTACAACTCCCATGATCCCTAGCTAGCAGAACCAGTGGTCAGGGATGATGGGAATTGTAGTCTCAAAACATCTGGAGGGCCGAGCTTGAGGAAGCCTGAGCTAGATGGATCTATTTTCTGACTCAGTATAGGGCTGCTTACGGAAAGAAAGAAAAAAGTTCTGAACAGCCTCCCTGCTACTTGATCCCCACTTTAACTGAAGACTGAGCATTTGAGCAAGTAAAACATGTGTCTCCCCACTACCCCACATCAGGTTTCGGCCCATCCGCTGTGCCTCCAAGCCTTCACACTTTGAACTGAAGAGCATGTCTGAACTACAGTTTCAGACCACAGCCTACCGGACAGACTGAGTAGGATATAATAATCCTGGTCAAATTACACATGGCAACTAACAAGTACCTTCTCTTTGCTTTGGCTTTCGTCTATAGCACACTGGCAAGAAAGAGCATCCAGTCGTTGATCTATCTCTTTCTTCCGCTTGTGGATGTCTTGATCTTTCCCAAGGGCTGCTCGGCCTAAGGAATCCAACCAAATGCTTTTAATTTAGAAATTTATATCCCACTTTCAAAATGGAACTTTGGTTGCTTACCACTGAAATTCAATGCTTCTGACATTCATTAAACTGTGGGTTTATACTGTTATATTGTTATATGGTGGGGGGATCCCTAGAAATTAATAAATGGTAAGGTTTTGATTATTTGGGATATGAAGGGAATATACAAGCTGCAGAGGAATTCCTGGGCTAGCCTATGCAAAACGACCTAGCCAAGCTATGGCCATTAAGAAACAATTGTTGTTGTTTAGTCATTTAGTCGTGTCCGACTCTTCGTGACTCCATGAACCAGAGCACGCCAGGCACTCCTGTCTTCCACTGCCTCCCACAGTTTGGTCAAACTCATGTTCGTAGCTTCAAGAACACTGTCCAGCCATCTCGTCCTCTGTCGTCCCCTTCTCCTTGTGCCCTCCATCTTTCCCAACATCAGGGTCTTTTCCAGGGAGTCTTCTCTTCTCATGCGGTGGCCAAAGTATTGGAGTCTCAACTTCAGGATCTGTCCTTCCAGTGAGCACTCAGGGCTGATTTCCTTCAGAATGGATAGGTTTGATCTTCTTGCAGTCCATGGGACTCTCAAGAGTCTCCTCCAGCACCATAACTCAAAAGCATCAATTCTTCGGCGATCAGCCTTCTTTATGGTCCAGCTCTCACTTCCATACATCACTACTGGGAAAACCATAGCTTTAACTATACGGACCTTTGTTGGCAAGGTAATGTCTCTGCTTTTGAAGATGCTGTCTAGGTTTGTCATTGCTTTTCTCCCAAGAAGCAGGCGTCTTTTAATTTTGTGGCTGCTGTCACCATCTGCAGTGATCATGGAGCCCAAGAAAGTAAAGTCTCTCACTGCCTCCATTTCTTCCCCTTCTATTTGCCAGGAAGTGATGGGACCAGTGGCCATTATCTTCGTTTTTTTGATGTTGAGCTTCAGACCATATTTTGCGCTCTCCTTTCACCCTCATTAAAAGGTTCTTTAATTCCTCCTCACTTTCTGCCATCAAGGTTGTGTCATCTGCATATCTGAGGTTGTTGATATTTCTTAATTCCGAATCTTAATTCCGGCTAGGGATTCATCCAGCCCCGCCTTTCGCATGATGAACAATACAGGACCATTAAGGGCCATTGGCAATGCAAGAGAGCTGTCCTTCCCCACTGTCCTGAGGTGTGAACAGTAACCAGGGATTTAGAAGGCTTCCCTGGGTGACTGTATTTGAGGTAACATGAAAAGAGTGCCTTTAGCAAGGTGTGCTGGGAAGAAGAAAGGGAGGCGGAGAGAGAAAGTTCCATCTTGAGCAGGCAGGCTGGGAGAACAGGGAACAAGCCCTTCTTGAGATGACCATACTGTAAGATCTGGACTCCCTTTATCTAAACTCAGGTGTAAATATGTGAATAAATCATATTTCTTAAAGCTACACAAGCCTCTGCCGCACCTTGATTCTCAAAGGAACACAGATCCTGGGTGAGCACCTGGAACACCGCCTAGAAGTTTGCTACTGCTTAGCAGAGTGGGGGGTGACACCCAATCTTTATAACAATATCCAGTGCCAGTCAGCTCCATTGATTTCAATGGGTCTACTAACATTACAACCCAGAGGTTCCTGTTATACCCCAATTACGAAACTGATTTAAAACTGCTGGGAATGACTTTTAAGAAGACTTTATAGCTGAAGTGATTTCAGTTATATTTTTTGTTTTGTGTGTGATGCTTTATTGTTTAATTATGCTTAGATAAAGCCAGAGTAAAAGCCAGAGTATATATTTGATAAAATAAACATCTTTGGCTGCAGACCAGGATAGGATGGGAGGGATAGGATGGTGTTACGGGATTTCATCCCTGCTCACAATCTGGGAAAGGTCTGTCCCAGATAGAACAGAGACTCGGGGCTATGAAGAACCAACTTTTGAAGCCCACTGTTAAGCAGACTAATTAGGAGACAGCAAATGGTGTGAGGGAGGAACCCTTTACAAACTACTCACTCATTCTGCGATTGGCCTGGGCATCCAGACTGAATTTCTGTACGTCCTTGCTGATCAATTTTTCTTCCCCCAGCCTCACCAGGTTGATGTCACCACAGTTTCCTGGGTGTGAAACAGACACTTAGAGCCCTGCTGAAGTACAGCTAGCTTTTTTAAACTAGAAAGACATTTGGCAAAGAAATACTTTTGATCTGCTTAGCAAATCCTGAAATCTGCATCTTGCACATCCTCAATAAGAGTTAGAAAAAGTTCAAAAAATGGCAACCAAAATGACCAAGGGGATACAGCAACTCCCCTACAAGGAAAGGTTGTAACATTTGGGACTTTTTGGTTTAGAGAAAAGGCAAGAGGCAACAAGCCAGATGTTTATAGAATTATGCAAGGTATGGAGAGAGTGGCTACAGAAAAGTTTCTCCCTCTGTCTCATAACACTGGAACTCGTGGGTATCTTAAAATGCTAAATGCTGGAAGTCTTAGGACAGATTTTAAAAATTACTTATTCACACAGTGCGCAGTTAACTATGAAACTCGTTCCTCGTCAAGGTTCTTTTGCTGCAGACACCCTTAGGGCAGCTTACAGAAAACAAGACAAAACAACAAAATAAAAATACAACACTAAAACCAGTAAAAATAAGTGCAGCAAAGCTTTTAGTAGGTACGTGCAGCACTAAAAGGATCCCAAAGAACCTTTAAAAAGTGTAAGGATGTACAAGAAAGGCTTTGCTTGGAGTCTACAGGATAAACAGAGGGCATCAGGGAGATTAGATTGGGGGCCTTCAGCATTCCAAACACATGGTCCACCACCAAGATCCAACCCTGTTCCAAAGGATTTCCGATGGATTCTCTGCAAGGACAAATGCCTTAGGAAAAGCAAAGCACCCACTACCTATACTGGCAGGTGGGGGGGGGGTCTAAGTGACTTAAACGCGGAATAATGTCTTATTCTTCAGTTATGACCAAGCCAATTGCTCCCTCCAGCTATGAATTCCACAGATGAGAACTGGCCAAGAACTCATCATACCCAAAGGCTTTTCCTTGTCCTGACATTTTTCCTTGAACTCAACAATCATTATTTTCATGAGGTGATCTAGAGCAGCGTTGGACGGAGCACAGACCAGCACACGGTTCCTCTTGATCTTGCTTTCTACAGGAGTCTCTTTCCCAGATCTCTGGAGATTTAAAGGGGAAAAAAAGTCATAGGGTTGTAAAATATACCTAGAATATACCCATTGAAACAAATCAACCATATAGTCATGCCCAGACTAGGAGTGCATACGGTAATTGAAGTTGGGTCTTTCAGAGGTCATCTAGTCCAATCCCCTGCCGGACAAAGGGTCTAAAATGCAGGATGCAACCACAACATCCCTGAAAAAATAGCTGGGTAAAAGACCCACTGTAATGGAAAGCCTGCCCACCTCCAGAGGCAGTCCTGTGCACTTTTGAAAAGCTCCTGCCCCTGTGAAGTACCCTCTAATATTTAGCCATTAGTTCTAGTTCTGCACTCTGGGCATAAAGAAGACTGAGAAAAAGTTAAGTGCAATAATGCAGGGCAGTCGTCTTCCACCTTTTCAGATCAAAGTCCCTTTTTAAAGCCCAAGGGTCATATCCAACTGAAATATACTCGGAGTCGAGTGTGGATTTCATGCTCTTTATTCAGCTCATAGTAGCGAGGAATGGAAGTTCCCCCAAACTGTCTAATTTATATACATTATTTAAACAATGGGTCGCACGTGATTGGCTAATTCCGGGATTCTCCTGTAGGCCAATCAGGTTGCGGATTCACTTCCACCTGGAGCTGGATTGGGTGGCTCCTGCGGACCAATCAGACTGCTGCATTTTGGATCCTATTCAACTCAGTACATAACACCAACTAAGTTTTATTCAAAGTGCACACATTAAAATTATGGGGCCTATGTTACTCATGCACAGTAATTTCAAAGGGTCTATTCCAAGTAGGACTAAAAAGAGCCTGCTGGACTACTCCAATGACCCATCTAGTCCAGCATCCTGTTCCCATGGGGGCCACCCAGATGCCTGTGGGAAACCAGAGAGCAAAACATGAGCATACGAGCACCTTCCCCTCCTGTGGTTTCAAGAAACTAGTATTCAGAAGGATTACTGCCTCTGACAATGGAAACAGAGCATAGCCTAGCCATGAATTTATCCAATCCTCTTTTAACATCACTGCCTCCTATAGATACACCCCAGATGTGCACTCTGAAATTTATTTTTAAAGGAAAATGACACGAAAAAAGGAGTCCTTAACCATTTAGAGTTGTCACTTTCCCCTCCTCTTGCATCTTTTGTGTCCTTGTGTGACCCAATACATAGCAATTTAGAAGGCTTAGTATTCTCCAGCATTTTACAGTGCTACCTCTGGTTATGTACTTAATTTGTTCCGGAGGTCCTTTCTTAACCTGAAACTGTTCTTAACCTCAGGTAACACTTTTGCTAATGGGGCCTCCTGCTGCCGTTGCGCTGCCGGAGCACAATTTCTGTTCTTATCCTGAAGCAAAGTTCTTAACCTGAAGCACTATTTCTGGGTTAGCGGAGTCTGTAACCTGAAGCGTATGTAATGCAAACCACTGCATTTCTGTCCAAAGAAAAACAGTGCCTGCATATTTTCTGTTTTTTTTATTTAACATGTTTTATATACTGCTTAATTAAAAATATATACATAGAGTGAAATAAAACATTCATACAAAATAGCAAAAAAATCAGACTTTAAAAATAGTAAAATAATAAAGCCATAAAAGAAAGAGATAAAAATCAACATTTTTTTTAAAAGAACAAACGTACATAATAAAATTGTACAGCTGGGTAGGCTTGCCTAAATGGAAATGTTTTGAGTACGTCTAAAATGGTACAAGGAAGGGCGACAGATCTGCGAGACTGATGATGGAAAGAGTGCTTTTATTTATGAAAGTGATGATATATGGAAACCATCTCGACATGATGATTGGACGAACGGAAAATTCACACAGGATTATAACTGGTGTTTACCTGCTTAAGGAGATTATCAGAAGAGATCATAAAGAAAAAAAAGAAAAATATACGAACAAGATGAGATGTGAGAACAGCAAGATAGGACTGGATAGAATTATGAACATTATTTGGACAGATTTGTGGATATTAACGCAGCAGCAAGAAGATGATTGGAATCCCCTTCGGAACTAGAAATATGGGTCCCCCCAACAAAAAAATTAAAATTCGGCTTTGTAATTCGGAATTTATGTGATGAGATTTGATTTGATTTGATTGGTCGGTTAATAAAAATTATTTTTTAAAAAATAAAAATAAATAAAATGGTACAAGGAAGGCACCTGCTTAATTTCAGTGGGCAGGGGATTCCAGAGAGTAGGTGCCGCGTCCTGGAAGAATTGGTTCCTTGCAAGTACAAAATGGACAAGAACAGGCCCAATTAAAAGAGAAGAAAGTGTTGGGATGTGAATAGATGCTAGCAGAGGATATATTTATTAGATATTGTCCTTTCCTAGCATCTATTCACATCCCAACAAATGGGGTCCAAGGGATGTGGGTTGCCCTGTGGTCTAAACCACTGAGCCTCTGAGCTCCCATTGCTTTGTCCAAGCTCCTGCCAACCCAGCAGTTTGCAAGTGCACCAGCGTGAGTAGATAAGTAGATAACACTGCAGCAGGAAGGTAAATTGTGTTTCCGTGCGCTCTGGCACTTATCACGGTGTCCCGTTGCGCCAGAAGTGGTTAGTCATGCTGGCCGCATGACCCGGAAAGCTGTCTGTGAACAAACACCGGCTCCCTCAGCCTGCAGCGAGATGAGCGCCACACCCCATAGTCGCCTTTGACTGGACTTAACTGTCCAGAGGTCCTTTACCTTTTGACCTTTAATGGGGTCCAGATTAGATTATTTCAACCCTATCTAAAATAAAAAACAGCACCAGTCTAAAACCAGTATATAATAGAGGAGCATTCATTCTTTAATTTATTGAACACTGTTTATATGGAAACATAGGAAGCGTCTTTATACTGGCCGAACTCCTTAAATATTGTGTACACTGACTGGCATCAGCAAGGATGCCTCCAGCAGGGCAACACCAAAGGGTGTGGGCCAATGAGGGTGTGGGCCAACCCCCTTTTGCAAAAATAATGGTGTTAATGGGGATGGGATTTTAACTTGGGTGGGTGTTGCTTATTTGAGGGGTAGGGTTGTTTTTAGTTGTTCTTAAATGTTATGTGTTACATGTTAATTTGTATTTTGTTTTTGTATTTTTTGGTTTTATAAGACTATTTTACAGCCTTTTAAATGTGTTTGTGGGAGGGGGCGTATTGTTTTGTTTTTATTTTAACTATTTACCTTGCATTTTCATCCTGTGAACAGCCCTGAGATATTGTGAGGGAGGACGGTATATAAATCTAATAAATAATAATAATAATAATAATAATAATAATAATAATAATCAGAAGGTCTCCAGGGTTTTAAGCGGGAAGCCTTTCCTAGCTCTATCTGAATATGCCAGGGATTGAACACGGGACCCTTTCTGCATGCAGATCAGATGCTCTACCACTTTAGCTATGTCCCTTCCCATTAATTAACAACAATAACCCAGCACCCCACATTTTATGTAACATAATATATGTGGTTCTTATTATTTGCCGTTGAAATAAGACAGCCTGGATCACTTCCTGGTGCAACTAGACTTCTCCATGACCCTTCCCCACTGCAGGAAGGTGGGACCTACTTGGATGGTCTGCCCCACCACGTAATGGATCCAAATGGTTTCCAAAGGGTGGCAGGGAATGTCTTATCCCATGTTGATGGCCTTTCAGCTGATTCCCTGGTGGCCCGCTGGAATGCGGAGTTAACCAGGGCTATCGACTGTCTGGCTCCAAAGCGCCCTCTCAGATTGCATGGAACCCAGACAGCCCCGTGGGTTTCCACGGATCTGAGGGCAATGAAACAATCGTTGAGACAGCTAGAGAGCCAGTGGCAGAAATCCCACTCCGAATCAGACAGAACATGGGTTACAGCTCAACGGCGAGCCTCTATTGCATCTGCAGAAAACAGCAGCAGAAGACTCAGGTGGTTTGCAATCTAAGGGAACAACCTTCGCCATTGGGGCCTGGTGAGGACCCCAAGATCTCCTGCAATGGTTTTTTGCAAAGTTTTTTTGCAGATAAAGTTGCTCAGGTTCGGAAAGAGGTAGACTCCACCGTGGGAACAGGGCTGGGGCGGGAGAGTGCTAGAGTCCTGTCTAGTCAAGTTGCATGGGATCAATTCCAATCTGTTACCTCCGAGGATGTGGACAGGCTGCTTGGACGAGTGAAACCGACCACCTGTCTCCTTGATCCTTGCCCATCCTGGCTAATAAAAGAGAGCTGGGAAGGGCTGGGCGATGTGCTCTGCGGTGTGGTGAATGCTTCCCTCTGTAAGGGAGTCATCCCAGACCCACTGAAAGAAGTGGTTATTAAACCGCTTCTTAAAAAAAAACATTTTTGGACTCAGCCCATATGGCCAACTATCGCCCAGTATCAAATCTTCCATTCTTGGGCAAGGAAACTGAGCGGGTGGTTTCTGAACAATGTATGGAGGATGTGGACCATTTGGATCCCTTCTAGTCAGGATTCAGGCCTCATCAGGGGACTGAAATTACATTGGTTGCGCTTGTCAATTACCTCCGCCAGGCTAGGGACTAAGGTGAAAGCTTTTTCCTAGTTCTGCTGGATCTTTCAGCAGCCTTTGAGATCATTGACCATGACATCCTTCTGGACAGTCTAGAGGGGTTGGGAGCTGAGGGCACTGTTATACAGTGGTTCCGCTCCTTCCTCCTGGGTCGTGTCCAGAAAGTGGTGTTGGGGTATGAGTGTTCAGACCCCTGGGTGCTCACTTGTGGGGTGCCTCAGGGTTCTGTCCCCCACAAGTTGCAGTATAAGTTACAATGTCAGCTGAATTTGGGAAAACCACTTGAAGAATCTGTAGTGTTGAGCTATTTCAATTGCTTTTGTTTTATTTGCTCATTGCAAACAGTTTAAAGTCTGTAAATTTTGATAATAAGCCTGATGAGCAATGGGGATTGAATAATTTCAATTGCAACTGTATATGAAGTCATTAGAAGAGATCATCAGGGCGTTTGGGCTGGGTGTTCACCAGTATGCAGACGATACCCAGCTCTACCTCTCATTTAAATCACAACCAGTGAAGGCAGTGAATGTTCTGTGTGAGTGTCTGGAGGTGGTTGGAGGATGAATGGTGGCTCATGGATTGAGGTTGATGTTAACATTTCACTCCACCGTCGCTGCATTTGAGATTGTTGTAAATCACATGCCTGTCTGAGAAGACTATGGGAACGGAAGACAGCCTTATCTCTCTTTCATTGTATGTACTTTGGACTGTACTTTCACTTCTTCTGTTCTCTTGGAAGAGAACGGACACCATTATGCTGTAGTCTGTATATAGAGTGTAAATAAATAGTAGCTTAGATCTACAATGTCCCACGCTTGTTGCTGTGTAACGCTAGAAGTATAGCGTGCATAAATCAAGCTGATTTATGTCGCTGGAGCACCCTGGAGAAGAAGGGAGATGCCTTTTCCAGTGCTGCGCACATCGGAGGACGTTTGGAGTTTCGGGGGCTTGCAGGCAGCCCCAGGGCAAATTCCAACATTGGTAGCAGAGGATGGTTCCGGGCCATCGCACTCTGGAGCAGCGACGCCGGTTTTGCGTCCGGGGGGAGCCTGCCGATCGGCACAGAAGCACGGTGTGAAGCTGCAATGAGCCATGAGAAAGAGACCTGCATTCCAGCCAGGAGTGGGGAGCTGCGAGTACTGTGATTTACGAGGCAATTAAAACCTCGGAAAGTGAGCGCTGCCACTGGAATTAGCGAGCTGCTTGTTGAAATTTATGACTGCTGACTGCTAGCTGCTGTTTGATGCTGCAAAGGCTTTTGGCTATAAAGTAAAAGCCGAGATGGATTCCAAGCACAGAATCAGAACGATGTCCTGTCTGCTTCTGATGGGCAATAATTATTCAGGATGGTGTGTAAAAATGGAAGCGCTTTTGCTTCGACAAAGACTGTGGTTTGTTATAGATGACCCAATGCCACAGGTACCAACCAGACGGTGGTGTGATGCCAATAAACAGGTGAGGGCTGTGATCATGTTGCATGTATCAGATAACAAACTGATCCATATCCAGGGTTTGGTGACAGCACAGGCAGTCTGGCTTGCTCTAAGAGAAGCGCATCTTCGCATCGCCGCAGGATCCGCCCTATTATATTTCCAGAAGCTTTCCAATATGAAGCTGAGAACTGGGGGAGATTTGCAAAAACATCTTACACAGATGAAGTTTCAGTGTGACCAGTTGGAGCAGAGGGAGGTCCTGCTTCCGGAGTCCCTTTTCTGTTTTATGATAATCAACAGCATGGATACGTCATATGTGGTTGTTGCATCGCAGCTTGGAGCTCTGCCAGCTGCTGATTTAACAGTCCAGAGAGTCTGTTCAATGCTTCTGAATGAGTCTGACCGCCAAATGGCACTTGTAGCTGATGAGGGGGAGGCCGAAGCCTCAAAAGCACCCCTGTCGGCGGTGCAAGGTGCAGAGGGGGCCGTTGCTTTGAAAGCCCTGTCGTGTTTCAAGTGTAGGGAGAAAGGCCACCTGCAACGTGACTGCAGGAAGCACCAGAAGCCCAAGGAAGCTACAAGGAGCGGAGGGGTGGGAGGCAAGAATTGTGCCAAGCCCAGCTCTACCCAGGCACTTGCTTTGATCATGCAATGCACCACCTCACCTACCCATAATGCTTTTGTGGTAGATACGGGGGCGACATTTCATCTCTGTAGTCAGAAAGGTTTGTTTGTTACCTTTAAGGAGCAGAATGACACCATCAAACAGGCAGATGGACGTTGTCTGCGAAGTGAAGGTATTAGGAAAACATACCTTGAAAGCATCCAGACCTCAGTACAAAATGTACTATATGTTCTGGGACTGACTTATAATTTGCTCAGTGTTTCTCAGCTAACTGCACAAGATTTCTGTGTTTCTTTTGACAGGGAGAAGTGCATCATCGCAAAGGATGGAGATGATCTTCTGTTTGCCTACAATGAGGACGGGCTGTATTTACTTTCATTTGACAGTAATGAATGTAATGATGATGTTGATAATGATGTGACACGTGTGATGTGTAGAAACAAAGGTCACTGTGGCTCAAAAGGGCAGAAAGCCTAGTAAAATAGTCAAAAGAGCTTTTCAGCAGGTGCATGCTGATGTAATTGGTCCTCTATCACCCTCTAGAGGCAATGCCAAGTACTACCTGATTGTGGTTGATTCCTATTCTGAATAAAATAATAATAATATCTTTATTGTCATTGCCCCCTTCGGGGACAACAAAATTACTTGACTGCTCCATAAAAACACTAATTAAACAATACAGTATAATACAGCAAGGGAGATTAGATGACTTTCAAAGTCCGGGCTTCCCATTCAGGGCCGAGATCGCTCTGGAGAAGAAGCTGTTCTTAAGACGGCTCGTTCTTGTCTTCATCGTCCTGTATCTCCGTCCCGACGGCAAGAGCTCGAAGAGACAGTGACCAGGATGCGATGGATCTTTTACTATGTCCAGTGCCTTCCTATGGCACCTTGTGGCATAAATCTGCTCTAAGGTGGAGAGTGGGCAGCCAACAATGCTCTCTGCTGCCTTAACAACCCTGCACAACCCCATCCTGTCCTGGGTAGTACAGCTTCCGTACCATACACATAAGCCATAAGTGAGCACGCTCTCAATGGCACAGTGATAGAAGGCAAGCAGCAGTTTCTGCGGAAGATGGTTTTTCCTTAGTATTCTCAAAAAGTACAGTCTCTGCTGCGCCTTCTTCACAAGCCCCCTTGTGTTGACACTCTAGGACAGATCCTCTTGTAATTCAATGCCCAAAAATCTGAACGTTGTTACCCTCTCCACACAGACCCCATCAATCAAAAGTGGCTGGACGTTGCTCTTCTGTCTCCTGAAGTCCACCACAAGCTCCTTTGTCTTCCTTGTATTTATGAGCAAGTTGTTAGCTCTACACCACTCTGTCAGCCGCTCCACCTCATCTCTATAATCCGTTTCACCCTCCCTTTCAGGGATGAGCCCAATCACGGTTGTGTCATCTTCAAATTTAACAACCCTGTTATTAGGGTGAGTAGCGACACAATCGTACGTATAGAGGACATAAAGGAGCGGACTGAGTACGCATCCCTGTGGTGTTCCTGTGTTAGTCTTAAGCATATTAGAGGTATAAGGGCCCAACCGAACCCTCTGGGGGCGGTCTGACAAAAAGTCCAATATCCACCCACAAAGTGATAACGGAAGCCCCAGATCTTCCAGTTTAGACATCAGACGTTGTGGTAGAATGGTATTAAATGCCGAGCTGAAATCTAAAAAAAGCAGTCTGGCATAACCCCCCCACTGCTCCAAATGTGCAAGGACGGCATGGAGGGCAATCGCAACAGCGTCCTCTGTCGATCTTTTCGTTTTATAAGCAAATTGGAATGTGTCCAGTCCCTCTGGTAGGCAGGCAATGACATAATTTCGTACCAGCTTTTCAAAGCACTTCATGATTATAGGTGTGAGTGCTACTGGACGAAAATCATTCAGATCTTCCGGGTTAGATTTTTTGCTATTGGAACGATAATAGAGGACTTTAGGCAGGATGGAACAATAGCCTGGGCTAGGGATCGATTTAAAATCCCAGTGAAAACTCCTGCTAGTTGATCTGCACAGTCCCTCAATACCCTTCCAGCTACCCCATCTGGCCCTGTGGCCTTCCTTGGGTTGATTCCCTTCAACACCTTCCTCATCTCTTCTTTTTCCACAGAGACTACTACATTCCTTTGTACTGATGATGGTAATGGTGGTGATGATGGCAAAGCCTTCACAGGGAGTGGTGGTGGTGTTGGTAACGCCTCAGCAGGTGTTGCTGCAGATGTTACTTCAAACGGGCAAAAAAGGCATTCAAATCCTCTGCGAGGGATGCCCCTCCCTCGTCTGCCAGGGAGTCCTTGGATTTATACCCTGTTAATTCTTGTACACCTTGCCACACCTGCCTGGTGTCGTTACTTTGTAGATGATTCTCCAGCCGCTGTCTATACACCTCCTTTGCTACACGGTTACCTCTCTTTAGATCGGCTCTAGCTAAGCTGTACAGCGACTTATTTCCACTTCTGAAAGCAGTATTTCTTGCCTTTAGCAACCCCTGGACCTCCCTTGTCATCCATGGCTTCCTGTTTGGGTAGATCTTTATCTGGCGCCTCCGTGTTACATTGTCAGTGCAGAACCTAATATAGTCCAACACTTGCTCAATATGAGTCTCTACATCCTGTTGGGCGAATACCTCCCAATCGGTGTCATGAAAACAGTCTTGTAGTTGTTGGGATGCTTCAGCTGGCCATATTGTAATATCCCTCTTTATAGCTGGAGTCCGTTTCCTCAATGGAATATATTCAGGAGTCAGGAGCAGGGACACATGATCAGATTGGCCTAGATGTGCCAATGGTTCGGCCTTATAGGCCTGTTTGACATTTGTATACAGCCTGTCCAGAGTCTTTTCTCCCCTGGTTGCACACTTTATGTGTTGATAGAATTTAGGTAGGACCACTTTCAAATCTGCCTGGTTGAAATCCCCGCATACAAGAAATGCAGCCTCGGGGTACTTGCCTTGTTGCCTGCTAATGGCATCATGCAGAAGACCCATTGCCTCATGGATTTATATGTTAAAAAGGAAGAATCAGATTCTAACAAAGTTCAAAGAATTTTGTGCATGGGTAAAAGCTGTTCAGGATGTGAAAATTTATTGTCTTTTCACAGATCAGAGACAGGATTTTGTTTCACAGGAATTTGGGAGTTTCCTGACTGAACAAGGGGTGAAGCACAAAGTTGCTACCCAGAAGTCTTCATGGAACGACGGTTTGTGTGTAAGGATAAACCAGGTGTTGCAACAGGACATGAAAGCGTTACTGCTTAGTGCAGGCTTGCCAAATGAGTTTTGGACTGAATTGCTGAATTGTTATATTTAAATTCATAACAGGAGATACTCCAAAGTTATGAAATGCACACCCTATGAGAAACTGTTCCAGAAGGTACCTTATGTCAAACACCTTTGGATTTTCGGGTCTCACGTGTGGGTGGAGACACCACAGAGCAAGAAGCTCGGCAAATGTGGTGCACACGGTATATTTCTGGGTTACAAAAAAGGCCAGTACAGAGTATTGATGTCTGACACCAACATAGTTCTTCTCACTAGGGATGTTGAGTACACTGAAAAATGGAAGGAATCGGCAGACCACGATTTGTAATGTTCTTTTTGTTCCAGGTTTGGTGGACAACTTGCTGAGCATTTCTCAGCTCACAGTGCAAGAGTTGAACATTTCCTTCAGCAGGAAGAAATGTATCATCAGGAAGAACAGAAGAGATCTTCTATATGCTGACTGTGTGAATGGCTGATTCTTATTATCCAATGATGATGTTGATACTGATGTTGATATGCAAAGTAATGAGATGTGTTGTGCAATGTCTACTAACAAAATTTCGCATGCAAATTGTTTCCATGACCATCACAGGAGGCTCGGTCATCTAAATTTTCAGGCCATTGCCAAGATGCCTGATCTGGTAAAGGGGATGACCATTAAACTCTGCATATTTCACATGAAATGTACCGTATTTTTCGCTCTATAGGACACACTTTTCCCCCTTCAAAAATGAAGGGAAAATGTGTGTGCGTCCTATGGAGCGAAGACACCATAGCCCCGCGACCCTCTCCCAGCTGGAGAGGTGACATGTGGCTATGGCAGGAGCCTCTATAGCCGCGCGTCACCTCTCCAGCTGGGAGAGCGCGTGCGGGGCTAAAGAAGCCATAGCCCCGCGACCCTCTCCCAGCTGGAGAGGTGATGCGCGACTATGGCAGCAGCCTCTCCGCTGCGCCTTTCCGCTGCTCCCTGACCTGCTCTTTGGGGCTGGTGGTGGGCTTCCCCCGCCAGCCCCAAAGAGCAGGTCGAAAGGAACCTGAAGCCTGGAGAGTGAGAGGGGTCGGTGCACACCGACCCCTCTCGCTCTCCAGGCTTCCAAGGTAGCTGCCTGAATGCACCTTAAAAGGCACCTTGTTTTAGAGTAGGAAAACAAGAGGGGGAAAATTCTCCCCCTCTCTGCGCAGCGCCTCCTGCCGCTTCGCTGAAGGGGTGCTGGGCAGAGAGGGGGAGAATTTTTTTTTCTTGTTCTCCCCCCTCTAAAACAAGGTGTGTCCTATTGTCCGGTGCGTCCTATGGTGCGAAAAATACGGTAAATCATGTGCAGAACACAAGGTCTAGGTTGCTCCAAAGGGTAAAATATCTGGCAGGGAAGCCAAAGAGCCCTACCAAATTGTGCACGCAGACCTTGTTGGTCCATTCAAGCCATCTTTAGGTAAAGCACAATATTTCATGGTATGGATAGATCAGTTTTCAAGATATATTTATGTTTTCTTTCTCAAGTAGAAGTCAGAAGCGTTTCCTAAGTTCAAGGAATTCTGCGCTTGGCTGCAGAATGCCCACAAGAGACAAGTGGGTTGTCTTTTCACTGACGGCAGAATTCTCTTCTCAGCAGTTTGAAGCTTTTCTAGCTGAGAAAGGAATCCAACAGAGCTCCATGGCAAAATGGTCTCTGTGAAAGGGCAAATCAAACGCTCCAGCAGGGCATGAAATCTCTCGAGTGATGCTAATTTGCCTGATTCATATTGGGCCGAAGTTTTCAATTGTTTTACTTATGTCCATAACAGAAAAATTTCTTCACCAATAGGTTGCATACCTTATGAAAAGTTGTTTGGCAGGAAACCATTTGTTAAACAGTTGAGAATTTTTGGTTCTGACATGTGGGTTCACACACCTCAGAGCACCAAGCTGAGCAAACGTGGTATGCATGGAATATTCGTGGGATACGAAAAAGGTGCTTACAGAGTATTAATGTCTGACACGAAGACAGTGAGATTCACTAGGAGTGTTGAATATAATGCAAAGTGGGGAGAAAATGTAGGAATTTTCCAATGTTATCCTGATACTAATAATGATGAGAAATCTGATGATGACACCGGTTCAGACACCAGTTCAGTGAGAGGTGGTAGTGCTGCTGATGACAGTGATGACACGGCAGACTACAAGAGTGCAAAGGCCTCACTCACTGATTGGGGTCTGGAGCCACAGTTTACTATTGGCGCGATTCTCCTAAGAAAGAGGAGATTAGTCCTGAAGACTTGTGCATAATTCGCAGATCTGAAAGAGCCACAAAGGGCAGACCACCTAAAAGATTTGTTGATGAGTTTGAAAAGACAGCTACAACTGTTATAAATAACTCAGGGAAGATTCAAGAGCCTTCAAGCTTCCAAGAGGTCAAAGAGTTAACCCGAAGGCTGCTGAACCATGGTTAAATGCCATGCAGGCTGAGCTAAATTCCTTAGAGAGAAACAAAACATGGGAACTAGTTCCAATGGTACCAGGAATGAAGCTAATTGATAGCAAATGGGTCTTTAAGGCCAAGACAGACCAGAGTGGCAAGGTAGTGAGACATAAGGCCAGGTTGGTCGCAAGAGGATTTTCGCAGGTACTAGGTCAAGATTATCACGAGACCTACTCTCCCACCATGAAGTATGAGAGCATTAGGCTTATGCTCAAAATTGCTGCAAAGGAGAAACTAAACGTTTCTCATCATGATGTCAACACTGCATTTCTGTACGGGGACCTGGGTGAACAGATTTATATACATTCACCTGACGGAATATAGGTAAAGAAAGGATTGATTTGTGTTCAAAAAAATCCTTGTATGGTCTCAAACAAAGTGCCCGATGTTGGAATACTTAATTAACAGAGACGTTGTTTTCTCTAGACTTTCATCAAGGCAAAGCAGATCCATGTTTGTTTATCAAAACAAACTGTATTGTGTATGCTTTGTTGATGATCTTTTCTTTTGGAAAGATCAAGGCTTTGTACAAAATAACCCTAGCTCAACTGAAGGAGCATTTTGATATGAAAGATCTTGGCAATGTAACAAACTATCTTTCTCTGGAGGTAGAAAGAAACCAGGGAGGTGATATCTTGGTACACTAATCACAGAAAATTGCTAATGTATTGACCAAACTGAATTTGGTTGACGCAAACCCTGTAGATACACCAATGGTGACAGGCTGTTAGATGACACTGACAAAGCATTTTCTGATGTTGCTCTGTACAGATGTATTCTAGGCAAGCTAAATTTTATTGCCCGGTGTTCGAGGCCTGATATAGCTGTCAGCACTAATTTGCTGAGCAGACACACTAACAATCCTACGATTAAAGACTGGAAGGCACTGAAACGCATAGCACGCTATCTAAAGAGGTCTATGCACTACAGACTAAAATTTACCAACCAAAAATCTGGAGGTCTTGAGATTTTTGCAGATGCAAGTTTCAGAGGTGACATCACAGACAGCAAGAGCACTTCTGGAGTGTGCTACATGTATAACCAATGTATTTTCGAATGGTCATGTAAAAAGCAGACAACAGTAAGCCTAAATTCTTACAAGGTTGAATTGAATGCACTGTCATATGCACTTCTAGATTGTGAATGGTTATTACAGCTGTTTAAAGACCTAAGAGTGAATGTGAAATGTCCTATTTAAATGTATCAGGACAATAGAGCATGTTTGTCTTTACTCGCTACAGAGGGATGTAAGCAAAGAACACTTACAATTAAGATTACAACGTGCAAGGGAGTGTATTCAGAAAGGACTTATTCAAGTGTCCTACATGCTGGGAAATGAAATTCCAGCCAATCTGTTATCAAAAGTTGTTAACAGGGAACAACTTCAGATTTGTATACAGTGGTTGCAGTTAGGCTGAAACACTGCAGCTACGGGTTACTTGAAATGGGGGAGGATGTTAGGATTTCACCCCTCCCTATGCTGCAGTTATAGGATTGTTGTATCACGTGTCTGTATGTAATGCATTTCAGCTGCTGATTGTTACAGCTATATAAGCAGAAAGGGAGATACACTGTTTGCTCCCTTCCTCCCACTGTTCTCTCACAGTGATGTTTTGTTTCAGCATTCTCTCCGAGGAAGAGAAAGAGGAACCATGTTTATTTTGTAGTGTTTGTACTCTTATGTTTGATTTCGTTACAATAAATAAGGATTAGATGTTACACCTCAAGGCTAACGTGTCTATTTTGGACTCTGCTGGTCATGTGCTCATGTCCCAGGAGGGTATGGGTCGCATCAGCGTGACGGGAGACTGGAGTGATAAATCCTGGGCGACGCTGCATTGGGGGAAGGCACAAGGCCTTGGCGTTATCTCCCAACAAATGTAACTATTTTCCAAACTTATCCCATTGATGATGGCTCAGATGGGGAATCTGATAATGACAGTGACAGTGGGAGCACAGGTAGAAGTTCCACTGATGCAGCAGATTACCAGAGTGCAATTACATCGCTCAGACCATCAGAACAGTCTGATCGAGAATTGAAGGAACCACTGTTCACTATGAGTCACTATTCTCTCAAAGAAGAGAAGCCCTATAAAGAAGACCTGTGCCTGATGCGCAGATCTGGAAGAGCTATGGGGGGAAAGCCCACTAGGTATGCTCGTGAGTTTGCTAACACAGCTGTTGCAAATATAGCTGTGGCTAGTAGCTCAGGACAGGTTTCAGAGCCTGAGGTCTTGCAAGGGGTACAGGGTTTGTCCTCAAAGGATGCGAAACCACACTCAAAGGCTGCAAGGGTCAACACTGTTTCTTCAGACAGGAACAGAGCTAAGGCTCTAGTCCCATGGAAGGAAGGTAACCAGAAGTGCAAAATGGTCAGGCACAAGGCCAGTCCAGCTGCAGGGAGTTCCAAACGTGGAATGGGTACTACAGGGGTATATTATGTGTATGACAACAGTATGTTCACTTCACTTACTGCTGTGTTAGCCTATGCAGCATTGGTTACCTGAAATGGGGGAGAGTGTTAACATTTCACTCCACCGACGCTGCATTTGAGTTTGTTGTAAATCACATGCCTGTCTGAGAAGACTGTGGGAACGGAAGACAGCCTTATCTCTCTTTCATTGTATGTACTTTGGACTGTACTTTCACTTCTTCTGTTCTCTCGGCGCTGGAGAGAACGGACGCCATTATGCTGTAGTCTGTGTTAGGATTCTTACTCCATGTTTGAAGTCTTGGGATTGTTGTCTATCACATGACGGTGTGTTTTCATCCCACAGTGTGGGAAGTGACGGAGACAGGATGTTTATGTTACTGTGTTCCGTGAAGTGGGGCTATTGTCTTTTGTTCTTTTTTTTCTTTGCCGTCTGATGAGAAAGAGGAAGCAGCTAAGTCAGAATGCTCCAAGTGTATTATATGTAAAGAAAAGTAGATTAGCCAAAATGCTGTGCTGCTGAGTTCTGTTACGCAAACTGCAAATACTCTGCAGGATCCCTAAGTGTGCTGATGCTTCTTGGTATCAGTCGCTGTGATGTTCCGTCTGAAGAAAGTTTTTGAAGCTCCCGAACGACCGACCAGGAGGGAGAGAAAATGCCAGTCGGGCATGTGTCTCTGCCAGGTGACCCAGTGCCAGCAGAGGAAGGACCGGGGGCTGTTTTTGTCCCAGTTGGAGTCTCCTGGAACTGGCAGAGTGAAGGCAGAAGGAGACAGTCTGTGAGTATAGCAAATGCCTAAAAGTGAAAGCAAAGACAGGCTGGACTGTTTTTGTGCCCGTGCACAGAAGAAGGCGAGAGGCCTTTGAAGTTCTTGCCAGGCACTAATTACAGCTGGCAGAAGCAGGCTTGATTTATAGTGGCCGTCTGATAAGGACTGTAAAAAGGTAGTTTCAGCTTGAACTAAGCTGTGGAATAGACCTTTCTAGAAGGGGCAAAAATCCCACTCCCTAAGTTACGTAGAGAAAATGGGAAAAGCTGCTTTTTGACAGAGAGAGAAAAGCTGCTTGGTGCTGCAAGCCTTTGCCAAGAATGTAGCCCTGATTTATGTGCTACAAAGGGAGGACATTTCCCGATGCTTCTGAATCATTCCCTGAGCAGAGAATGGGTAGCGGCAGAAAGTGAAAGCTGGAGGAGTGCTGCGGCAAGACTTGTGAAGCTATGGGGGAGTAAGTCCCCCGATGAAGCTGCATAATAGCAGACAAGGCAAAAAGCCTGGGAAGAATGGGGGGGGGCGGGTTGTTTTGTTCCTGGAACTGAAAAGGCAGTTTGAGACAAAGGCTGTGTCTTATGCCAGACAGTGTGTATGTTCAGCAGGAATTGAAGCTGCGTCACACGATGGACACTTCAAGATGGCGGGGGCTGCTAAACGGGATGCCAGAGAGGTTCGGAGGGCTAGATTTGCTGTCTCCGACGCCCACACGCAGTGGGAGGCAATTGCTGAGCGGACTGCCAGAAGTAATACCCCAGGGAAAGCTGATACAGGATCCCAGAGAGGGTTGTGTTCCTGACACTGAAAGCTTCACAGAAGAAAGGCTTTTGAAGGAAGAATGCACAAGGGGGTTGTTTCCTGTTCCTGTTAAGGGCCAGAAATCTCCAAAGCAGGAGCAGCAAGGGGAGTTGACTGCCATGTCATCCCAATCTTCACTGCAACCAGCAGGTGGCACTGCTGTGTTTGAAGCATTGGAAAGTTTTTCCTGTGAGAAGTTTGGACAGAGTTCAAAAGTCAGGAACATTTGCAGCGTTTCCGACGGGCGACATGAAGCAAGGCCAGAGATGCAAAGATGCAGCAAAGATATGGTGACTAGCTGTTCCAGTACAGAGATGCAAGAATCTTTTGTGCTAGATTCTGAGGCGAAGTAACACCTTTGTGGAAGATGGAACTGGTTCACCGCGTGTACACCACAGAAGGGTCTTGTCAGGGAACTGCCATCGGAGCTAAAGGCGGAGGGAAGGCTCCAGAGGGATGCCGGAGAGGGTCCCAGTAGGGAGAGAGGCAGCCCGTCCGCTGGGGAAGGAATCAGCTTAACACCAGTAGTGTAGGGGTGCAGATGGGGGAATCGGAGAGGAGGCTCCAAGACTCCTCGCCGGAGACCAGCTGAGAGAGTACGGGTCCTCCGCTGCCCACACCCTCCCTGCGCAGAAGGCTTCCGCGCAGGGAGTCTAGGTGGAGACTAGGCATCAATGAACTTTTGTACTGGAAGAAGTTTAAGAAACGCCCACTGACGGATTCTGCCAGCGACTGAGACAGTCACGATGCTAGAGGCTGTTCAGTCAGAAAGGGTTTAACCAGGTAACCTAGCCAGGAGTGGCGGCAACTTACGCACGAGCAACCCCTAAATCCATTACAGCAATCCGTCAGTCCCCGACGTTGCTTGTGCGCAGCTCCAGAGAGGCAGCACGATGAGCCGAGCCAGAGAGACGGAGCAAGCAGCTGGAGTGCAAGGTCTGGTAGAGAGAAATCGAGACTTGGAACAGCATGTAGCTCTCCTGACGGCGCAGCTGGACGAAAGATGAACTCAGGATGTTCAGGTCAGACCCACCCCCATCGCAAGGAAGGTACCGGGGCTGGTACACAAGTTTGGGGGGAAACCCCAGGACTACAATGCATTCCGAACGGAAATAGAGTACGCTTTGGAACTGCAGCATGATGACTTTGCTGACGATGGGCAAAGGGTAGCCTACATTGTGGGGCATCTGGAGGATGGGGCACGGGAATGGATCAGGCCCCTTATGGTGACGCAAAATCATGCCTTGAAGGACCTTAAGAAATTCTTTCAGGCAATGGATGCGATGTATTCCAGTGAAGTCCAGCAAAGTGTGACTCGGCGAGAACTGATGGGGTGCAAGCAGGGGAGCCAGTCAGTCAGAGACTACTGGTCGCGCTTTGCAATGTTGATCCACCGGCTCGGGTGGGATCTGGACTCTGAACCTATTCAAATGTTGTTTGAGGAGGGGTTGTCCCCAACGGTGAAGGACGAGCTGTCCCGCGCGCCCCGCCCACAGTCGATGGATCAGCTGACCAAGGCGTGAGGCAGGGGAACACGGGTGAGGCAGGGGAAAATTTTTACCAAGCTGGACCTCAGAGGAGCGTACAATTTGATCAGGGTAAGGGAGGGGGACAAATGGAAAACCACCATGTTCACCCCCTGGGGGCTTTTGAGTACTTAGTCATGCCATTTGGGTTACAAGCGGGCTCCGCCTGCTTTCAAGCATTCATGCACCACGTGTTGGGGCCCCTGCTGTACAAGAACTGCGTAGCCTTCTTGGACGACGTCTTAATCTATTCAGACAATGAGAAGCAACATGTCAGAGACGTCAGGGAAGTGCTAAAGAGGCTGCAGAAGCACCAGTTGTGGGTCAAGCTGGAAAAATGCCAATTTCACACCAGAGAGGTCGAGCTTCTGGGGTACAAGTTGTCAGACAAGGGACTAGCTATGGACCCAAGCAAGGTACAGGCAGTGCTGGAATGGAAAGCCCCCAAAACCCGGAAGGACGTGCAGAGGTTCCTAGGGTTCAGCAACTTCTACAGGAAGTTCATCAAGAACTTCGCCCACTTGACAGCGCCCATCACAGATTGTCTCAGTAGCAAAAGGAAGTTCGCCTGGACAGAAAGTGCCCAGCAATCCTTTGAAAGACTGAAGAAGGCATTCACTTCGGAAGAGCAGCTCCTGCACGTTGATCTGGAGAAGCCCATGAGGCTAGAGACCGACGCGTCCGACCGAGCCATTGGGGCGGTACTTTTGCAGCCGGGGGGGGGGCAAGCAGGACTGGAAGCCGTGTGCCTTTTTCTTGAGGAAGCTGAGCAAGTCGGAGCAAAACTATACGGTGTATGACCGCGACCTGCTGGCGATCTATGCGGCGTTTCGCCGATGGAGACATCTGTTAATAGAGGCGCAGCACAAGATCCAGGTTTGTACTGATCACAAGAACTTGGAATACTGGAGGACCGCGCGAGTACTCAACCAGAGACAGATTCGATGGGCACAGGAGTTCTCCAAGTTTTCCTTCGAGATCCGATACGTGCCGGGAGAGGAAAACGTAAGAGCAGACGCTCTCTCCCGGAAACCGGAGTACATGGAAGGAGAGGGACCGCCGGAGATACGACACGTGATCCCCGAGGACCGATGGGTGTGTGGGGGAGCCTTGGTTGGGAAACGAGAACTGGCCGGGCTTACTAGAAACGACGTGTTCGCTCAAACTAAAATCCGGGAACTCCGAGACGGAAGGGAAAACCATGGAGGGTTTGAGGAAAAGGAAGGGGTGCTGTACTATAAGGGGGCGCTGTATGTACCGGGAGACCTTGAGAGGAAGGTACTCAAACAACTCCACGACAACCCTACAGCTGGGCACTTTGGACAGCACAAAACCATGCTGCTCGTCACCAGGCAGTACTGGTGGCCAAGGGTGAGGAAGATGTACGGGAATATGTACGGGGTGCGACCGCTGCCAAAGGGCAAAGGGGAGAGGGCTGCCCCCGCAGGGTTACTGGAACCCTTACCCACGCCGGGAAGACCCTGGGAGGTGGTGTCCATTGATTTTATGACAGATTTGCCCAAGTCAAGGAGGAAGACAGCAGTCATGGTAGTAGTCGATCTACTGACGAAGATGTGCCATTTCATAGCTTGCTCACATGCGGTGATGGCAGAGGAGACAGCCAAGTTGTTTGTGGATCACATCTTCAGGTTGCATGGGGCTCCCTCGAGGGTCATCTCAGATCGCGGAAAACAATTTACTTCCCGGTTCTGGAGGAAGCTCATGAGCTTGCTGCAGGTAGAGGTGGGCTTCTCGACGGCGCGACACCCGGAAACCAACGGGCAAGCAGAAAGAGCCAACAGTATACTCCAGCAATACCTACGCTGCTACGTCAGCGAGAGACAGAACGAGTGGGTAGAGCAACTAGCACTGGCTGAATTTGCGTACAATAACGCTGAACATGTGCCCGTGGGGATGAGCCCGTTCATGGCCAATTATGGGTGTCACCCCAGGGCCTTCCCGGGGACGGGGAGGACGGGTGGAGTGTACCTGCGGCAGTGCCGTTGGTGGAGGAATGGGAGGCCTTGCGCCAGCAACTCAAGATGAACTTGGAGCGGGCCAAGGAAGTTTACAAGAGGCAGACAGACAAGCGCCGTCGGGAGGGGGAGGCCATACGGGTGGGAGACCGAGTGTGGTTGTCAACCCAAGGGTTACCCCTAAAGAGAGGGTGCAAGAAGTTGCAGCCAAGGCGGCTGGGACCCTTTGAGGTAACACAGCAGGTGAACCCTGTGGCATTCAAGCTCAAGTTGCCTGACAGCATGAAGATACATCCGGTGTTCCATAGGTCCCTACTCTCACCGTACAGGGAGGGGCGGGAATTCCCGGGGCGGGAGGGAGGAGTCACCACTCACCCGTGGGTAGAGGAGAGGGAACTCCACAACCAAGCCACGGAAATACTCGATTCAAGGTGGCGAGGGCGCCAGGTGGAGTACTTAGTGGTGTGGGAAGGAGAACCCGGGTCAGAAAACACGTGGGTCCCCGCTGAGGCGGTCAATGATGGGTATCTAGTGGAAGAATTCCACAGCCTGTTCTCAGACAAACCAAAACCACTAGCGAGATTCTGGGAGGAAGAATTTGGAACCACAGACGACGAAGAGGAATTTGTGGGTTTTCCTGCCTCCGAAGAGGAGGGAGGGGAGGTGTCAGAGGGAGAAGAATCAGACTGGGAGGCCCACCCCACGGCAAGAGTTCGGAGCGGGTGGGAAGCGGGTTTTGAATCCTCAGAGGATGGCGACAGCTCCTTCAGGGGATTCCCCGCATCATCGGCCGAGGAAAGGGACGAGGTTGGATCAGCAGGTCGGGCCGAGGGTGGAGGGGGTCCGGGGGGGGGATGGATGTCAGGGAACTGCCATCGGAGCTAGAGGCGGAGGGAAGGCTCCAGAGGGATGGCGGAGAGGGTCCCAGTAGGGAGAGAGGCAGCCCGTCCGCTGGGGAAGGAAATCAGCGTAACACCAGTAGAGAAGGGGGGCAGATGGGGGAATCGGAGAGGAGGCTCCAAGACTCCTCGCCAGAGACCAGCGGAGAGAGTACGGGTCCTCCGCTGCCCACACCCTCCCTGCGCAGAAGGCTTCCGCGCAGGGAGTCTAGGCGGAGACTAGGCGTCAAAGAACTTTTGTGCTGGAAGAAGTTTAAGAAACGCCCACTGACGGATTCTGCCAGCGACTGAGACAGTCACGATGCTAGAGGCTGTTCAGTCAGAAAGGGTTTAACCAGGTAACCTAGCCAGGAGTGGCGGCAACTTACGCACGAGCAACCCCTAAATCCATTACAGGTCTGATCCACCAATCGGGTGGAGACTTCTTGGAGGTACATAGCACCGGGATCGTGGAACCGAAAAGCTGTAAAGTTGTGATGTCTAATGTGTTTTTCATTCCAGGTTGAGAAGCCCAGCTGATGCAGCCTGGATGTTCTGTTTATGTCAACAAACAGCGTGCAACCATCCAGAAGAACGAAAGCGACATTATAAATGGCTTGTTCTTACTACAGTATGTTGTGATGTTAACATGGGGGATGGTGGGAAAGTTGGAGAGACAAGTGATGCTATGCCTGATAACCATCTTTTTCATGCAGGATGTGTGCATGGGTCTTCCAGATTGCTGGTGTCTGACACGAAGATGGTCAGGTGTACCAAATGTGCTCAGGAGAAAGCAAAGGAAGGAGGCGATATGGGTAACTTACAAAGGCACCCTATGTCAGAGTATATTGATTTATTGCTCAGATAAGCGTGAGGTCCGGCACACTTCCCCTGCGTAGGCCTCTGCATTCCAAAGTCCGACATATCTGAGCATAGCAGAGATCAACAGCGGCAAGAGGAAGACTGCAAAACACTCCAGTGCATTCTTCAGTGTGCTTAAATAAAGTCCACACAGGATCTTAGCAGCTAAAAGCAGTTTTATTTACAGCAGACTATCCATTATCTATCACAGCGAACAGCATCACGAAAACACGTCCTCTCTCCTCAAAAGCGAAAGTAGAGAGAAAGAACAAAGACTTGAGTCTCTCGGAACTGACGTAGAAGTTCCCCCCTCCCACCAGTAGGCAGAGCGTACACTCTGAGCTGTTTAACCCTGTAAGCTCAGGTTCTCCTCACACCCCCTGTCGCTCTGCGCTGCGGTGGGGAAAGTAAGTACAGAACTTACCCCCAACTCCAAACCACCACAAAACTCCCCATGACGCTGGAAGCTTAAAGGTTTGGTAAATCCATCGGCCAGGTTACTGTGACTGGCACAGTACTTCAGTCGTATCAAACCTGACTGAACACTCTGACACACATTTTGGAAACGTATGTTCAGATGCTTGGTTCTGGCCTTAAATTGCGCAGATTCAGCCAATTTCAAACAGGGTTGATTGTCTTCCCAAACCGTGATGGGCAAGCTACAATCCCCATAGATCTCTTGCACCAAGCATCTATAGAACTCTAGTTCCCGGCACAAATCTGACAGTGCACTGAATTCAGCCTCAGTGGAAGACAGCGCAATGAGACTTTGCTTCCGGGACTTCCACCCAACCAGTGACTTCCCAAACTTTATCACCAACCCAGACACAGACTTGCGGTCCTGCGAATTCGCCCAGTCACTGTCCGCATAGCATGTGAACTTCGCCTCACCTTCAGCTGGCAGCTTAAGACAGAAGTCTTTGGTATGCTGCAGGTAGCGCAGTACCCGCTTGATACCGTGCCAAGCACTCACACTGGGCTTTGACGCTTCCCTACTTAGCAGGTTGGTAGCAAAGGCAATGTCTGGTCTGCTCCATTGGGACAGATACAACAGACTACCTAGAGCTGACTGAAAGAGCTCAGCATTCTCAAACTCAGCACTTTCTGCTTGCTGGCTATCTTTCACGAAGTTCGTCTAAATGGGTGTCCGAACTCCTGCACAATCGGACATTCTGAACTTCTCAAGCAACTGCTCAATCTTGCCTTTCTGACTGAGCAAGAAGCTACCATCCTCAGTTCTCGCTATCTGGACACCTAGGTAGATCTTTATTGCACCCAGGTTCTTGAGCTGAAACCGTTTCCCAAGCTCTTTGGCAAACTTCTGCACCTGTTTGTCTGCCTTTCCAACATGGATGATGTCATCAACGTAAAACAACACCAGTTCCTGTGAGTCTCCTGATCCTCTAAGGAACAGGCAACTGTCAGCAAGACTCTTCCTGAAACCTAGCTTCTCCAAAGCTTCATTCAGGCACAAGTTCCAATTCCTGGCCGACTGCTTCAGGCCGTAAATTGACCTGTGAAGTTTCCACACAGTACCTTGCTCATTGCCCTCAAACCCTGGAGGAGGAAGCATGTACAGATCCTCCTGGAGGTCTGAGTTCAAGTAAGCAACATCCACATCAAAGTGATGCACCAGCAAACCTCTTTGTGCAGCGATGGCCAAGACCAAGCGTAGAGACTCACACCTACACGTGGGCGCATAAATTTCCGTATAATGCAACCCCCTGCACTGCGTGAATCCTCTCGCCACTAGTCTGGCCTTATACTGCGGTTCTCCTGTCGCTGTGGGCTTAAGACGGTAAACCCAGCGGCTACCCACTGCCTTTTCACCCACCGGCAACTTCGTGAGGGAGAACACACCTAGCGACTCCATTGAGTTCATCTCCTTCTGCATCGCCTCATGCCATTTCCTGGCTTCTTCCTGAGGCAGTTTCTGAACATCCTCAAAACTCTCGGGTTCACACTGTGCCATTCCGACCCACACGCTAGTGACGGCAAACCTTTCAGGAGGTTTCCCCTTGGTCGTCCGCGTTGAACGGCGCAGCACTACTTCAAGAACCCCCTCTGACCCACTAGGGCCAGCCAGAACGTCCTTGGCATCAGAGAGCTCCCCCTCTGACTTACTGCGTCTTCCGGACTTCTCAGCCGAACCTGTGGGGGAAGATGGAGCACTGCGTTGCTCACTCTTCACAGCCTTGGGAGAAGTTCTCCCCTCTGCCTGCAATGGGCCTGGACTCTGAGCCTCAGTAGCAGGTTCAACCTCTTCCTCTCCTTCACCAGCAGAGTCTAGCAGACTCTCTGACAGGATGTCAGGGTTCCCATGTATCCTTGCCCAGCCACTCTGCTCACAGAATTCAGCACTGTTGCTGAGCAGAATCCTGGACTGATTCCCTGACGGATACACAAACCTCCATCCCTTGGTCCCTGGCTCATACCCACAAAAAAATCATATTTTGGGACCTGGGTTCACCTTTCTTGCGTTTGGCCTTTGGTATGAGGACCCAAGCCTCACAGCCAAAAACGCGGAAGTAGTGCACCTTCGGTTTCTTGCCATGGAGCAAGAAGTACGGTGTGTCACCTACCACTGAATTGAACGACCTGTTCAGAATAAAGTTGGCCGTTCGCCAAGCCTCCCCCCAAAAGCGCTGTGGGAGCCCGGCATCAAACAAAAGCGCTGCGGACATCTCCCCTAGAGTCCTATTCCTGCGTTCCGCGATCCCATTCTGTTGGGGACTGTGTGGAGAAGTCAACCTGTGTTGAATCCCCTTTTTGCGGAAGAAACTTTGCAGTGCAGACCCGGTGAACTCCCCACCGCGATCGCTCTGAAAGTTTTGCACCCGTGTGGAAAACTGCAGTTCCACAGCCGCAATCCAGTCTTTGATTAGTGGCGCAGCTTCATCTTTGCGTTGAAGCAAGAAGGACCAAGAATTCCTCATATGGTCATCAATCAGAACCAGCGCAAATTTGGCTCCGCCCAAACTGCTCACAGAAAACGGTCCACACAAATCTGCATGAATTAATTGAAAAGCCCTAGTGGTCACCCTCTCAGACCTTGGGTACGTGCACGTTTTCACCTTTGCGGACTTGCACGCTCTGCAATCTAGAAACTTAGCACATGATTTCATTTTGCACCCTTGCGTATACTCTGGGATCCTCATCACTGACCCCCAGGACACGTGTGCCATGCGTCGGTGCCATAAGTGGGGACACGCATCATGAACTGGAACATTGGCACACTGCGCCTGAGCCTCCTCCGTGTCATCTGGACCTGCAAAAGAAGCATTTATCACAAACAACCTGTCTTTACATTCAACACTGACTAGGTGCTGTCCATTCTTGGAAATAGAACACTTATTGTTCTCAAAACACACTCTGTAGTTCTCAGCAAGAAGTGCACTGACAGACAGCAACGCGCAGGACAGTCCTGGAACAACAAAAGCCTGGATTGAATCCTGCAAGAAAGAACAAAACAGTGAGCCAGTCTGCGTGAGTGGGTGTCGAGTCCCATCTGCTAAACAGACAGTCTTCCCAGATTTTACAGAGGTGCAGTTCTCCAGGAATCCTGCAGATGGCACTAGGTGATGGGAGGCTCCACTGTCGATCACAAAAGCCAGCACAGCATCCTGTTGACAACTCTTGACTACAGCCATAGAGGCAGCCAAATGTTTACGTTCAGTGTCTCTGCCAGCTGCCTTCGGCTTGCCTTTCCCACGCTTTGAAGACGAGCCCTTTATCTGGTTGCTACGGGAGACGGCCTTCGGCTGTTCCTCCACTGGACATTCTCTCACCAGATGGGAGGGGGAGCCACAGCGATAACAGCGGCGACACGTAGCAACAGCTCTCACAGCTCCCTCTTCAGCCATTCCTTTGTTCCCAGCACCCCCACCTTTGGGTGCACAGCCTGGGCCTGCACGCTCCCCAGCACTCTGGTTGTAGGCCTCAACATCACACGGCCCCTCGGAGACAAAGCAGCTACTCCCAGCTGTAACTTCAGGAACATGGCCAGCAGCCCCCTCTCGGCTTCCTGCCTGCTCTCGGCTTTCTCCCGGCCCTGGGCTCCTGCTGAGTTCTCACACAGACTCCTCAGCACCTGCCAGGCGGCCTGAGCCGACTCAACGCCCTCCAGGTGGGGCAACAGCATAGCGTCCACGCTTGCTCTCAACATGCAGAGCTCCCTTTGCATTCTCTGCTCTCTATCTTCCAGCAAAGCAGCCTCCCGGTCTGCTCCTCCTTCTTCAGCAGCAACTGGCATGGGTGGGGCCGGCTCCTTCTGGGCTATACTCCAGAACCCTGTGGCCAAAAACCACCCCCTGACTCTTCTAACCCAGATATCCCAGGACTGGGTTGTGAGCTGTACAAACGGGACATCATAAAAGTCCTGGAGCTCAGCCATCTCCTCCCCCAGTGCTCCCATTGGGGCTTTGACGTACTCACGCGTACCAGCCAGCTTCAAAGGAGAGGCCTCCAGTGGCTCTTTGCAGCACACAGCATTGCAGCCAGCTTCCCTGCTTTCTCCCAGGCCAAGCCTCAAAGCAGGACTTTTGCCTTCCGGCAGCAAAACAGCAGCTTCTCAGGTTCTCAGCCTTTTTAGGCACACAGCACATCAAAGGCAGGCTTCCTCTAATTGCAGTAATTGCCCATAACCTGTCAGAGTATATTGATTTATTGCTCAGATAAGCGTGAGGTCCGGCACACTTCCCCTGCGTAGGCCTCTGCATTCCAAAGTCCGACATATCTGAGCATAGCAGAGATCAACAGCGGCAAGAGGAAGACTGCAAAACACTCCAGTGCATTCTTCAGTGTGCTTAAATAAAGTCCACACAGGATCTTAGCAGCTAAAAGCAGTTTTATTTACAGCAGACTATCCATTATCTATCACAGCAAACAGCATCGCGAAAACACATCCTCTCTCCTCAAAAGCGAAAGTAGAGAGAAAGAACAAAGACTTGAGTCTCTCGGAACTGACGTAGAAGTTCCCCCCTCCCACCAGTAGGCAGAGCGTACACTCTGAGCTGTTTAACCCTTTAAGCTCAGGTTCTCCTCACACCCTATTGGTAATGGAGATTCTGATGTATGGATTCAGAGGCAACAGAGTGACACGCTCAGCAAACATAGTTTGCAAGGCCTTTCCCTGGATTCAGACAAAAGTTCTGCTAGGGACTGCGACAAGGTAAACCCAAGATGTGCAAAGGGACCAACAGATGGGTCTGACATGTGGGTGCAGACGTCACAAGGCAGGAAGCATAGATTCTTCCTCGGGTATGGTGGCTTGTACAAAGTACTGAGACCTCATGCCAAGATGATTTTACTCACTAGGGATGTTGAGTGCAGTGAAAAATGGGGAGGAAATGTGTGTGTTTTCCAAGGCAACCCCATTGCTTCAGACTCAGATATTGAGTCTGCTGCTGATGCTGAAAGTGAGGCGAGTTCCACTGATACAGTGAAAGACGTGCGCCTGGTGTACAGATCTGAGACAGCTACCACCAGGTATGCTCAGGAGTTTGCTAACACAGCTATTGCAGTTTTAGCTGTGGCTAGTGGCTCGACACAGGTCTTGGAATCCGAAGTCTTGAAAGGGATACAGGGTTTGTCCTCAAAGGACGGGAAACCACACCCAAAGGCTGTAAGGGTAGACACTGTTTCCTTGGAGAAGAAAGCTGAACCATGTCCAAAGGCCATGTGTGCCAACCCCGATTCCTCGGAGAGGAACGAGGCTGGGGTTCAAGTCCCAACAAAGCCAGGTGTGAAACTTCTTGATAGTCAGGAGAACTATGACGCCAAGACTAGTCAGAAGTGCAAGATGGTAAGGCCCAAGGCCAATCCAGTTGCATGTAGTTCCAAGGGTGGAATGGATGGTACAGGGGTATACTGTGTGTATGACATCTGTATGGTTGTTGCAGTTACACTGATGACTACAACACTGCTCATGCATCGGGGGAGGATGTTAGGATTCTTGCTCCGTGTCTGCAGTCATGGGATTGTTGTCTATCACATGATGGTGTATGTTTTCATTCCACAGTATGGGAAGCGACGGAGACAGGATGTTTATGTTACTGTGTTCCGTGAAGTGGGACTATTGTTTTTTGTTCTTTTTCTTTTTGCTGTCTGATGAGAAGAGGAAGTATTATATGTAAATAAAAGTAGATTAGCCAAAATGCTGTGCTACTGAGTTCTGTTACGCAAACTGCAAATACTCTGTAGGATCCCTAAGTGTGTTGATGCTTCTTGGTATCAGCCACTGTGATGTTTGGGCTGAAGAAAGCTTTTGAAGCTCCCGAACGACTGACCAGGAGGGAGAGAACATGCCAGTCAGGCATGTGTCTCTGCCAGTGTCCTACACGTGAGTAGGACGATCCTAACAGTCTGTATATAGAGTGTAAATAAATAGTAGCTTAGATCTACAAAGTCCCACGCTTGTTGCTGCGTAACGCTAGAAGTATAGTGTGCATAAATCAAGCTGATTTATGTTGCTGGAGCACCCTGGAGAAGAAGGGAGATGCCTTTTTCAGTGCTGCACACATCGGAGGACGCTCGGAGTTTCAGGGGCTTGCAGGCGGCCCCAGGGCAAATTCCAGCAGTTGAATCCCAACACTAAGTAAAAGCAAAAACAAAAGAAGTGCCATGGTCGGATCACTTCCTGCGATCCTTCACTTTTCTGCGACCCTTCCCCTCTGCAGGGAGGTGGGACCGATTCGGATGGTCCGCCCCCACCACTTAATGGATCCAAATGTGTCAGGGGTCTGCCTTCAAGGGAGGGAGGACAGGAACGTACAGACAGCCTCCTCCTTTGTTGAGCAGCTGCACCTTGTCAGAGTCTGGTGAAAGCGAGCCTTTAGGAGAAACGGATGACGAGAGAAAGGGGGGGAGGATGCAAAGGCTCAGTCAGGCTGAGATGAGCCACGACACCGCTCCCAGGGAGTTGGAAGTGCCTCTTTTTTTTTGCCAGGGAATTACACGTAAGGAAAAGAGGGGGAGAGTGGTTTTCCCGGGCTTTTATGCTGGAGGGCAAACAGGAAAAAGGCACTTCCGGAATCTGCTAGTGATTGAGGCAGACATTGATTTTGGACCTCTGGACTGTACATAGTTTTGCACTCAATAAAACCTGTAAAAGACAGGTGGGAGTCCTGGCTGTTATCTTCGTGAGCAACCACACACACTCCTCACAAAATGGTTTCCAGAGAGTGGTAGGGAATGTTTTATCCCATGTTGATGGCCTTTCAGCGGATTCCCTGGTGGACTGCTGGAATGCGGAGTTAACCAGGGCTATCGACTGTCTGGCTCCAAAGCGCTCCAACTGAATGGAGCCCGGACAGCCCCGTGATGTTCTCCAGAGCTGAGGGCGATGAAACAATCACTGAGACAGCTAAGGAACCAGAACCAGTGAAGGGGGTGAATGTCTTGCGTGAGTGGACTTCCGGGTTAGCGCCATCGGCGAATGGCGGAGTTCCTCCAACCGGAGGAACTGGCTCCGTGGAAACTGGGTCTTCCCGCCGCGGCGAAGGTGGGGACCCGCTAGAAATCCCAGGCGGAGGAAGCCTGGGAACGTGGGGTTCGGCAGGGCACCAGGAGCGCCTCCCCTACTCACGGGGAATCCCATTTTGGGGTTCCGGAGTGAAGTGGGGTGAGCGGCGCGGTGCTGCGAACTGATTGCTACTTTCACGGAGTGAAGCCGCACAGCCATTGCCGGAGAGCGCTGACTTTTTCCTGTGGACAATTGGATTTAAAACCAGTACCCGTGAGTAGAAACGGAAAATTGGATCAAGAAATATCTTAATTTGGCACCGAAGTGGGAAGGTTCAAAACAGGAAGTCCGCCTTCTGCTTTTTGTATATAGACTGAAGCAAAAACCTTGCAAGCTAAAGCCTGGAAAGTCGTTAAAAAAGTCTAAATTTCCTTCATTTATAACTACTGAAACCCCCTTGGAATCAGGAGAAAAGGGGGGGGACTTTGTTTAATGCCTGCAGGAGAGGGAGTGAAGAAAGATATGTTTCCACCGTCTCTAACCTGGGAACGGGGTGTCAGAGACAGAAATTGCTGGAGAGGTTCATTGACTGTGAATGGAATACTTTGACAGATAGCTAAAGAAGAGAAATAAACTGATTCCAATGTTGCCTTTTGCATTCCAAAGAAACAAAATATCTGAAAAATGAAAGTAATTTTCCTTTGTTGGACTTGCCTTAAAAAGATGGATACAAATAGAAATTGTCTCCTCTAGAGGGAGCTTGTTAAATTGTTGCTGCAGTCTACTTGAGGACTCTACAGTTGTGAGATTAAGATCGTGGGACCAGTAAGGACTGACATGACCCGAGACCAGGAAGAAGAGACGTTGGATGAAGACTGGAAGAAAATTTATAAAGAAAAATTTTTATTTAGGAATTAATCTAAAATTAATGAATATTAGGGAAAATGTTGGAATGAAACTATATGGCTCTAGTAGAAATGATATCAGGAGTTATGTATAACTGAGTATTAAGTATCAAGCTCTAAGGTATTTTACGGTAAGATAAGGTTAAATAAATTATGGTAATTTGAATAACAGAATATGGGGAAAAGATGGAAAGGATTTGTTGAGTTAATTAATAGGTTAAATTGTTAAGATAAATTAAGATAAATTATCTAATAAAAATTGAGAAAGATGGAAAGAACTTGCTGAAATAACTAATTAAACTAGAATACAAAAAGGGAGGTGTGAGGAGGTCAATGAAACAAGCAAATGGAAGTTAAAGATATGTAATATGGGATTTGTGTCTTTTTTTTCTTCTTTTTTTATATTTTTGCTGTATTGTTGTATTGGCTTTTATGTTTTGCTTTTTTTCTCCTTTTTTATGTATTGTAGTGTTGTTTCTTATTTTTTCTTTTTTTGTAATTCTGAAACTATTAATAAATATTATTTTTTTAAAAAAAAGAATGTCTTGCGTGAGTGTCTGGAGGTGGTTGGAGGATGGATGGCGGCTAACAGATTGAGATTGAATCCTGACAAGACAGAAGTACTGTTTCAGGGGGGCAGGGGGTGGGTGGGGGACTGTCACCATCAGTGTTTCTGCTGGGTTTGCATCAACCAAATTCAGCCTGGTTAATACACCAGCAATTTTCTGTGTTTGGTGTACCAGAAAATTACCTGCTTGGTCCTTCTCCACCTGCAGAGAAAGATAGTTGGATACCTCACCAAGATCCTTCATGTCAAAGTGCTCCTTCAGCTGAGCTAGGGTGCTTTGGTACAAAGCCTGATTCTTCCAAAACAAAAGAAGATCATCAAAAAAACATAAACAATACCGTTTGTTTTGCCCCTCCTCTTTGACAAACACACATGCCTTGGTGAAAACCTAGAGAAAGCAATGTCTCAGTGAGTTTTGTGTCACAACACCTGGCACTCTGCTTGAGGCCATATAGGGACTTCCGTAGTTTACAGACCATTCCCTTCTGTACCTGCACTCCATCAGGTAGAAGCATATACAGCTCCTCCCCCAAAATCCCGTACAAAAAAGCTGTGTTCACATTGTGATGAGAAACGTGCAGTTTCTCCTCTGCAACAATCTTGAGCATTAGTCTAATGCTCTCATACTTGACGGTGGGTTAGTAGGTCTCGTGGTATTGGAGAGCCAGTGTGGTGTAGTGGTTAAGTCTCGTAATCTGGGGAACCGGGTTCGCGTCTCCGCTCCTCCACATGCAGCTGCTGGGTGACCTTGGGCCAGTCACACTTCTTTGAAGTCTCTCAGCCCCACTCACCTCACAGAGTGTTTGTTGTGGGGGAGGAAGGGAAAGGAGATTGTTAGCCGCTTTGAGACTCCTGAAGGGGAGTGAAAGGCGGGATATCAAATCCAAACTCCTCTTCTTCTTCTATTCCTGTCCTGGTATCTGTGAAAAACCTCTGGCGACCAGTCTGGCTTTGTGCCTGACAACCTTGCCATTCTGGTCTGTCTTGGCCTTGAAGACCCATTTGCTGCCAACCAGCCTCATTCCTGGGACTGTTGGCACCAGCTCCCAGGTTTGGTTCCTATTCAAGTAATCAACTTCAGCCTTCATGGCATTAAGCCATGGTTCAGCATCCTTCGAGGTTAACTCCTGGACCTCTTTGAAGCTTGAAGGTTCCCACACCTTTTCTGAGCTACCAAGAACAGCAGTTGCTGTCTTAGCAAACTCATCAGCAAATCTCTTTGGAGGTTTGCCTTTTTTTGGCCCTTTCAGATCTGCGTGCTAGACGCAAGTCTTCTGCACTCATCTCCTCCTTCTTAGGAGAAAAGTGGCCAATGGTGAACAGGGGTTCTTCCAGTTCAATGTCAGACGCATCAGATGGTCTGACTGAGGCCTTTGCGCTCTTGTAGTCTGCTGTGTCATCACTGTCGCTGACAGCAGCAGCAGCGCCGCCCACTGAACTAGAATCCGAACTCTGATCATCATCCTCAGCTTCCTCATCATCTTCATCCTCCTCTGAGTGACTCTGGAAAATTCCCACATCCCCCCCCCCACTTAGGATTGTACTCAACACTCTTTGTGAACCTAATGGACAGTCATGAATACCCTGTACGCACCTTTTTCGTACCCCATGAACAAACCATGTGTCCCACGCTTCCCAAGCTTGCTGCTCTGTGGGGTGCGGACCCACATGTCAGAACCAAAGATTCTCATGTGCTTGACGTAAGGTTTCTTACCAAACATCTTCTCATAGGGAGCACAACCAATAGGCGATGACAGTCTCCTATTATACGTATAAACAAAAGTATTCAAAGACTCCGCCCAATATTTCTCAGGGAGATTGGCATCATGCAACAAGGTTTTTAGGCCTTGCAGCAAAGTTTGGTTTGCCCACTCGCAAAGTCCATTCTCCCATGGAGATCTGGGACTTGAGAGGTCGTGCTGGAGTCCCTTCTCAGTCAGGAAAGCTTCAAACTGCTGAGAAGTGAATTCACCGCCTCAATCAGTAAACAAACAGCCAATGCGTTTACTGTGAGCATTCTCCAACCAAGCACAGAACGCCTTGAACCTAGGAAACACTTCTGACTTCTGCTGGAGCATAAACACATGAATGTACCTAGAAAAAGAATCAATTAAAACCATGAAGTACCTTGCTCCACCCAAAGAGGGAGCAAGTGGACCAACCAGGTCTGCGTGGACTAGCTGGTAGGGTTTGGAAGCCTGTCTGCTAGACACCTTGCCTTTTGGAGCAACCATCACCTTGTTCTCTGCACAAGATACACATTTCATGTGAAACTTACAGGGCTTGATGTTCAAACCCTGAACCAACCCAGCCATTTTGGCCAGTGCCTGACAAGACATGTGACCAAATCTTCGGTGCGCCTCGTGAATACATCCTGCATGAAGAACTTTGTTAGTTTGTGCAACACAACAAGATTCAACATTAGACACACCAACAGCTTTGTCATCATAAGTTATCAAGAACAAGCCATCAACAAACTTTGCAAGCAAAATGTCCTCTTTGCCCTTCCTGATGACACAGATGCCCTTCTTGAAAGAAATCTCAAAGTCTTGCTCAGTCAGCTGTGGGATGCTGAGCAAATTGTCTGCAGAATCTGGAACAAAAAGTACTTTGCTGATGATTGTATGCAGACTTGCCAATTTCACTGTCCCGACTCCTGCAACTCTCAGAGTCTTACCATCAGCCTGCTGAATTTCCCCATCCTGAGGTGTGAAGGAAATAAACAGAAGCCGATCCTTCACTACGTGCGTCAACGCTCCTGAATCCACAACCAATCTGCCTTTGGCCTTTGGAGAAGCAGTTCCAGCAAACAAAGCCTTGTTTTTCACCAGCTTGGGTTTCTTGCCCCCCTGCTTCTGGCCATCTGCAGGCTTCTTCTTTTGTTTCCCTCCAGCCTTTGGGCAATGACGTTGTAAGTGACCCTGATTTCCACAGTTCCAGCACTTCACAGCTGCCAACGCCTTGGCTCCCCCTGGAGGCTGGAATGCTCTCCCACACTGCTCCCCCTGAAGCACACAAGCTGGTTCAGCTGCATTCCTCCAATCATATTCGTTTTGCAAGGTCACCAAAACTTTTGAAGCTGTGAGCTCCTGCGCAGGAAGAGTTGCCAGCTGGCTCGCCACAGCGCGGCAGCTCACATCTAAAGAATCCAGGATAAGGATTGCAAACAGAGATTCTGGCATGTTGAAACCTCTTTTGAGTCAATTCCTGTCTGAGTTTCTGTAACTCTAGGACATGACTTCTGAGGTCCCCCCCCCCCCGGCTCCAAACACTTCTTGTGCAGCTTTTTGAAGTAAAGCAACACAGACCTAGCTTCTTGTTGGAGATGTGAGGCCTGAAGCCCCTCCCACATCTCACGCGAGCTGGTCTTGCCAGCCAGGGTAATTAACTCTTCTGGAGCTACTGAGAGCAGAATTACCCCCATGGCTCTTGAATCTTGTACAACCCATGCATCAATCAGAGGTGCTTGGGGGTCCTCAGAAACAGTGTGCCACACACCAAGCCTTCTCAACTGGCCTTGCAGTACCTTGCCCAGGTCTGATAACTGTGGCCATTAAGCTTTGGGCACGGAACCCCATCTGAGGCTTGTAAAAGATCCATTCCTGCTCTTCACGCAAGCCTTGGAACTGGATACAATTTACAATCAGCCTTATCTTAAGCACGTCGTAAATCAGACATAGCGTGCTTCTCTCTCCGGCCTAATTGGTTCTTGGCACAGACTTCAAAAGCCTTCTAGCTGTGGCCGGGACAATCAGCTTCACATACCTCTGTCTCTGCTGGGAGTCATCAGCAGTCTTACTCTCCTGTAAGCGCCATGGATCTGGGCCCGAAACCCTTTTGTTGGGATACTGCCAGGAGTCGGGGGCATCAGGCAGGCATCAGACAGGCCCCCAGCTGGCTCCAGCCACCAGTTGGCAGCCGGTCTCCCTTGGAACAGCATCAAACAGTCACACAAGCCTCAGATACGTTTAGAGACCCGTGCACGCTCTGTCAGCAGAGTGTGTAAATCACCTCACAGCAGAAGAGGCAGACAGAGAGATGTGCAAGCATAATGTACAGCATTTATTCAGCATAGTTCAGGAACAAAGGAAAACATGTCTGCATCCCTTCGTGTCCAGCAAAACAGCAAAGCAAAAGCTATATGCAAACGGAAGTTCCCAGCGAGTGCTGAAAGTAAACAGGCATGTGACACACAACAGCCTGTTCCTGAATGGGGCAACTGTGCCCCTGAAGGACCAGGTGCGCGGCCTGGGAGTCATTTTGGACTCACAGCTGTCCATGGAGTCCCAGGTTAATTCTATGTCCAGGGCGGCTGTCTACCAGCTCCACCTGGTACGCAGGCTGAGACCCTACCTGCCTGCGCACTGTCCCACCAGAGTTATACATGGTCTAGTTATCTCCTGCTTAGACTACTGCAATGCGCTCTATGTGGGACTACCTTTGAAGGTGACTTGGAAACTACAACTAATCCAGAATGCAGCAGCTAGACTGGTGACTGGGAGTGGCTGCCGAGACCATATAACACTGGTCCTGAAAGATGTACCTTGGCTCTCAGTATGTTTCCCAATACAATTCAAAGTGTTGGTGCTGGCCTTTAAATCCCTAAACACCCTTGGCCCAGTATACCTGAAGGAGCGTCTTCACCCCCATCATCCAGCATGAACACAGAGAACCAGCACCGAGGGCCTTCTGGCGGTTCCCACTGCGAGAAGTGAAGTGACAGGGAACCAGACAGAGAGCCTTCTCAGTAGTGGTGCCCTGTGGAACGCCCTCCCATCAGATGTCAAGGAGATGAGTAACTGTATTACCTTCAGTAGACATCTGAAGGCAGCCCTGTATAGGGAAGCTTTTTAAGGCTTAATGTTTTACTACGTCTTTATATACGCTGGAAGCTGCATATGGAAGGCAGGGTGCAAATAAATTATATTATTATTATTATTAATAATAATAATTATTATTACTGGAATGCCATTTGTTGTCCAGCCTTCTCGATATTCTCACACATCTTACAAGGACCAGCACATGCAGGGTGTTACCAACCTGACCTACCTTGCTGAGGATTCGGTAAAGGAGCCCAAGGATAGTCTTAGATTTCCCAGTCCCAGGTGGCCCATGGATCAAGCAAACTTTGGGCAATGAAGGCAGCTTCATCACGAAGGTGTAAGCAGTTTCAATAGCTGTCCTTTGATCTTCATTAAGCTCCCTCATGTACGAAGACTGTGGGGCAAAGGAGAGGACAAAGGTGCATCTCTCACCAGAACGGACCGTTCCGAGATTTCTGTGACCTAGTTCACACTAATACAATGCCAAACCATGGCTTAGTGTGAGCATGTGGGTTCGCAGAACAGGAGACTGTGATGGCTTTGCTTACAGTATTCTACTGCTGTGAGCTAGGTCTTGGTTTGGGCTACAGCAAGTTTTCCAAACTTAAGCCTGTGGTTTGCCTCACTTAAAGTTTGAACCACATGTCCAAGTCCAGAAGACACATGCAAGCCAAACCATGGTTTAGCTCACAGTAGCAGGACCTCAAGGTGAATCAAACTAGCCACCATCTCCTCTTTGAGCACCTGCAAGTTTGAACTAAGCCATGGTTTGGTTTAGCATTTTGTGGAAACTGACCCTGCGTTATCTGTCCTCACTTCAGAGGCACAAAAGCCCCAAGGATTTGGAAGTCTCTCTTCAATGGACCTCTCATTTTGCAGAAAATTGCCACAGGAAGGTTATCACAATGTCATTCTCTCCTAAGGCCCAAGTTCAACTTTCAGGAGGAAGAGTGGGATATAAATTGAATAAATAAATGAAGAGGAAGGAGGAGACTGTGGAAGACTGCTGCTGATGTTCATCAGCTTTGTGCCAACCAGATGTTTTGGACTACCAGTCCCATCAGCCCTGGCCAGCACGGCCAATGGTTGGAGGTGATGGGAGTTGTAGCCCCAAACACCTGGGGAGTGTCAGGCTGGGGGAAGGTTGACTTAAGACAGGTAATGTGCGCTCAAGCTTAATTTTGGCTATGGAAAGACAGGTGGGACTCAGTGAATTTCCCAAGCAGCTAAATTTCACGTCCATGTGAGATACAGCCAAACAGGAGACAAAAAAGGTGTAGATGGAATTATGCACTGGGTAGTGGCAGGGGGACCTTTTCAGTCCAAGGGCCACATTCCTTCCAGAACAACATTCTGAGGGCCACATGGCAGGGACAAAAGTGAGCAACGCAAACATGGTGGGTTTTACCTTTCTTCACATTCAAGACACCACTCTCCTCCCAAATTCAGGCAAGCAAGAGGCTTGATCAGAGCTCAAGGACACATCCCAACCAGGCAGATAACACCACCACCACTCAAGGAGGGTGCAAAGCAAGGCCAGTGAAGGGCAAGGCCTGGGTGTCTCTAATTCATTCTCGCATTGCTGGATCATGTGATCCTTATTTACATTCCACACTGCTGGAAGTGTGGGAACAGAAACTCAGACAAGAGAATTTCCGTTCTGTGTGTTTTTATTTTTCTGCTCTTTGTTCTCTGCTTTCGGACAGAGAAGACGTGTGTGAGAGACACTGCTCACACCAGTCATGTTTTGTTGCTTTGATTCGCTGTAAATTAATAAATTTCGTGATGCCACACGCCTATACAGCCTCGCTTCTTGCAGAACTCTGCTAAGCATGCATACAGCTCCACTGGATGTATGTCGCAGTTCTCCTGCGTACAGAGGAATGTACGCACACTGGGGACAGTGTGTGTGGCCTAGGCAGACTTGCAAGTGCCAGCCAGAGAGGCCTGGAGGGACTTCCGGTGGAGCGCGATCCTGCCGCAAGCGAGGATTTTTCCGTGAGGAGAATCCTGTGCTATTTCGGGCGAAAAGGGGTGCTACAGGGCGCAGTAGCCCCCAAATTTAATCTCTGGGGGGTCACCCAGAGTGACAGGTTCCCAGCGAAGCCAGGAGCAGCCCGCCCGGCCGTCAGGTAACTCCAAAAGGAGCGAAGAGAACAGAGGAGCGGGGCTGTGGGCTACGGGAAGCCATTTTCTACACCCGAATAGCGAAGCCCCGAGCTTGCAAGAGAAGCGCTCCATTCTCAAATAGAAGAAATTCAGACCTAATTGTATTATAATTTCATGGTAACAAATCAAGGAAAGATTCGAAATATAAAGAGAAAAATTTGGAGTTCAGCTGTCATCTGGAATCAGGATAGACGCAACACGGCGCGCAGAGCTGGAAAGGGAAAGTGAGTTGCCACTGGCGGTTACTGTTTTCTTTCTCTCCTAGAACTTTATTTAAAAGTAACTCTTTAAGAAGCTACAAAGTTTTAAGCCTGCTAAAGTTAGAAAGGAGAGCAGAAAGTTAAGATTGAAGAAGTTTGTGGTCTTTGATGCAACGGAGGGAAACATAGAAGGCTGAAGTGCTTTGTTACTTTCACTTTTAAAAGAACAAAGAACACTGAAACGGAAAAGGAGCTTCCGACTCCATTATTAAAACTCTATTGGAACGACGGTTAGGTGGAAACAGCGGATAAAGGTCTTTTTAGACTTTATTATGGGAATCCTTAATGCTAAATAGGATTATAGCTGCCTCTGTCACTTAAGCATATTAATTACAATTGGGAAACCCCTTTTTTTTCTTTCCTTTTTTTATGAATTGGGAACTTTTAAGTCTAAAACTGCGTATATTAAAGGAACTGTCTGTTACCCTAGTGGAAGGAATGAGATACTACAATTTGTTTTTCTCTGATTTTTTTCCTGGCGAAGGAATATAATACTGAGGGATATAATACTGAGAAGTGACTTGTGCCTTTTTAGTCCAAGTGAAGGGTTCTGCGTTTGTTTTTATTTTTTTCTTCATCTTTTTGGGAATTTTGCCTCTGAGATTTTGTCACTTGGATATAATTTTGGACCTTTGTCATTTGGATATAATTTTTTTGGAACGTGATTAATTGGATTTAATTAATTGAATTGCTTGGCAGGGGGTTGGACTCGATAGCCCTTGTGGTCTCTTCCAACTCTATGATTCTATGATTCTATGGATATAATCTTGGAAAGGGTTTTTTATGGGAAGATTTCTGGGAAGCCTTGTGGGAAGATTTTTGGAAATTCCTTTTCCTTTGGGCGAGGTATTGGATTTATATGGGAAGCAATTTTTTTCTGAGGAATAGCCTAATTGGTGGCAAGAAGATTTAGTTTGTTTTGTTCCGGTTTCTACTCTGATCTTATACTCTTCATTATCCTCATCATCCCCAAACTACGGTTGAACTATATGATATAATTAGAAATTGGAAAATTGACAAAGTGTAACAGTGTAAAAATTGGTTCAATCAATATTTGAAGATTGTTTGAATAATAAGGAATAATTAATAAAGATGTCACACCAGCAAAAGAAAGGGGCAGATGGGGGGACACCAGTAGAGAGGAAGGGGTCCAAACAAGAAACAGAGTTTAAAGCAGAAATTTTGAGAATGTTTGCCGAAATAAAACAAAGTGAAAATAATTTAGAATCAAAACTAGAATCAGTAGATAATAAGATTGGGAAAATGGATAAAAATTGATGAGACAGTTAATGAACTTAAAGGACAATTAAAAGAGGTATCTAAGAGAACTCAATCGCTGGAGGAAGGATTTAAGAGGACAAAACAAGAAATGAAGGAAGTGAAGCGAGAGGAAGAGAGGATTAGAGTGGAGATGTTGGAATTAAATAAATCACAAGAAGAAATTAAAGATTCAATTGCTATGAATGAATTGCGACAGAGGGAAGTTAATCTGAGGTTGAGAGCTATTCCAGAAATACAGAATGAAAATATTAAAGAGAGACTGATATCGGAATTAGCCCAATGGATGGAATTACCAATAGAAGAGGTAGCTAAAACAGTACAAAATGCATTTAGAATGAGAATAAGAACATCAAAAACAAGAAAATTCCCAGGAGACTGTCTAATCACCTTTAAGGACAGGGAAATGAGAAATTTGATATTACAGAAGAACAGAGAGAAAAGATTGTATATAGATGGAAGTTATATAATCATCTTTAAAGATATACCAATAAGATTATTGAAACGAAGAGACCCATATAAACCACTGGTGCAGGTCCTTAAGAAAAACAACATTGAATTCAGGTGGGAATTTCCGGAGGGAATTTCATTTTTCTACAAAACCAAAAAGCGCAGATTGACGAGTCCAGAAGAAACAGGGAAGTTTCTGAGAAGGTATAAGGAACTAAAAGTAGAAGATGGAGAAATTGGAGAAGTCAAAGGAGCAGAAAAAGGAGCAGGTGCCAAGGATGAATTAGAATCGGGGGAAGAAGAAGAGGAGAACGGGGAAAAGGTAGAAGAAAAAGAAGAGGAAGAAGAAGAGTCAGATAAATTATAAAAGCGTAAAAAGAAAACTAAATTTATTTAATTGGAAATCACCATGGCACTAAAATTATGGAATTGGAATATTAATGGGATGAATGAGGGGGGGAAAATGGAATAAAATTGAACAATTTTTAAAAAAGAAAAATCTGGACATTATATGTTTACAAGAGACACACGTCGCAAGGAAACATAGGAAAATTTTGATTAACAAAAGATTAGGAAACGATTTTGTATCTTCAGATAAAGAGAAAAAAAAGAGGGGTAGTTCTATATATCAAAAGTAAAATTGAATCACAACAAATCTTCAAAGATGAAGAAGGAAGGATGATTGCAGTACGGATCAAATGGCAGGGCGAAAATTTGATAATTGTCGGGATCTATGCACCTAATGGAAACAAGACAGGTTTTTATAAATCTTTAGAAGAAAAACTATTTGAATATATGGACCAGAAAATCATAGTAATGGGAGACATGAATGGAGTGGTCTCATTGGAAATGGACAGACTAAGAGATGGATCAAGCAAAGAAGGAAAATTGCCTATGACTTTTTTCGCAATGGTAAAGAATTATAATTTGATCGATATTTGGAGACTCAGATATCCATTGGAAAAACAATTCACTTATTTCTCTGAACCGAATCAGTCAATGTCAAGAATAGATCAAATATGGGTGTCGAACGATTTGACTCCAAGAATTCTTCAAATTGAGATACAACCAAGAATAATTTCAGACCATAATCCAATAAAAATGGAATTGAAAGGATTCGAGGAAAGAACCTTTAGATGGAGAATCAATGATTACCTCTTCGACGATAAAAAAATCATTGAAAAAGCACAAAAGAAACTAACTGAGTATTTTGTGGACAACAGCAATAAAGGAACGAAGATGAGTGTAGTATGGGATGCAAGCAAGGCAGTGATGAGAGGTTTCTTTATCCAACAGAATTCTTTGAAGAATAAGAATAGAGAAAAAGGGAAAAAAGAAATCCTAAAGCAGATTATGGACAATGAACAAAAATTAATTAAAAAACAAAATAATTTTAAAATAAAACAAGAGATTAAGACTTTACAAACACAATTTGCAATGATCATAAATAAAGAAATAGAACTGAATATTAAAAGGTTAAGACAAAAAAACTTTGAATTTGCGAACAAATCTGGTAAATGGCTTGCGTGGCAAACCAAAAAGAGAAAAGAGCAAAATACAATTAATAAAATTATTGTAACCGGAGAAGAGGTTGACAATCCGAAAGGAATTAGAAAAGGATTTTTGGACTTTTATAGACAACTATATAAAAACAGAAAAAGAAATAATATGAGGAAAATAGAACGATTTTTGAAAGAAAAAAAGGTGCAGAAGATCCCGGCAGAAAAGAAAGACCAACTGAATGCCCCAATAGGAAACGAGGAGATAAAAGAGGCCATAAAGGAACTGAAAAGGGGGAAAGCCCCTGGACCAGATGGATTTACATCAGGCTACTATAAAGAACTGAGAGATGCTTTAATGACACCATTGAAAGAAGTCATGAACATTATTTTAAAAGAAAGAGGCATCCCTGAAACGTGGAAAGAAGCATTTATTACACTTATCCCTAAACAGGACTCAGATTTAACACAAGTTAAAAATTACAGGCCTATTTCACTGCTTAATACAGACTATAAGATATTTGCATGGATTTTAGCGAACAGATTGAAAAAGATATTGCAAGAAATTATTCACAAAGATCAAGCGGGTTTCCTTCCAGGCAGGCAGATGAATTAAGAAATGTAATTAATATTTTGGAGTATCTGACTGCCAGGAATGAGAAACAAGCTATATTAATGTTTGTAGATGCTGAAAAGGCCTTTGACAATATTGCTTGGGATTTTATGTTGAAGAACTTGGAATATATGGATGTGGGGATAGAGTTTTTTAATGGGATAAAGGCAATTTATACAGAGCAGAAAGCAAAATTAATTGTTAATAATGTGATTACAGAAGATATCAAAATAACAAAAGGAACTAGACAGGGATGTCCACTCTCACCACTGCTATTTATAATGGTCCTAGAGGTTTTTTGAGGTCGATGAGACAAAATGAATTAATAAAAGGGGTAACAGTTGGTCAGAATGAATACAAAGTGAAAGCCTTTGCAGATGATCTAGTAATTACGATTGAAGAACCATTAGAAAGTGTAAAAGAAATATTGGAAGAGATTGAGAAATTTGGAAATGTGGCAGGGTTCAGACTAAACAAGAAGAAAACTAAAATAATTGCTAAAAATATGGATCAAAGTATGATAGAAATAATGCAACAAAGAATAGAGAGAGAGGTGGTGAAAAGGTAAAATATTTAGGAATTTGGTTAACTCCTAAAAATATTGATTTGTTTCAGAATAATTATACACCGGTCTGGAATGGAATGAGGAAAGATTTGGAGATGTGGGGAAGATTGAAGTTATCTTTTGGGGTAGAATCTCTATGGTTAAAATGAGTGTTCTTCCAAAGATGTTATTTTTGTTTCAGACTATCCCCATAATAAAGGGGGTAGTAATTTTTAAAGAGTGGCAAAGAGTGCTCTCAAGGTATATCTGGCAGGGTAAGAAGCCGAGAATTAAATTTAAGTTATTAACAGATGCAAAGGAAAGAGGAGGCTTCGCTCTGCCGGACTTGAAACTATACTACGAAGCAGCATGTCTTTGCTGGTTGAAAGAATGGATAAAATTAGAGAATAAGGAGTTATTAGATTTAGAAGGATTTGACAGCAGATTTGGATGGCACGCGTATTTGTGGTGTGAAAAGAATAAAATTCATAAAGGTTTCGGGAACCACATATTTCGGCGCTCACTAATAGAAATATGGGATAGGTACAAAAACCTATTAGAACCCAGAGTTCCACACTGGTTGTCTCCATTAGAGGTTATGAGTGTAAAGAAAATAAATATGAGCGGTAACTGGATTACATATGGTCAATTGATAATCAAAGAAGGAGGAAAATGGAAACTAAAGCCATACGAACAAGTTAGAGAACATGTTTATGACTGGTTGCATTATTTTCAGGTTAATGAAATGTTTAAAAAAGATATCAAAGAAAAGGGTTATGTAGAAAAAGACTCAAAGTTCCAGACAGAAGTGATAAATAATGATTCTAAAATTCTGTCAAAAATGTACAAAATATTGTTGGAATGGAATATGAAAGATGAGGAAGTTAAATCGGTAATGGTACAATGGGCCAAAGATTTTGGTTACAATATACAGTTTGAGGATTGGGAAAAACTGTGGAAGGAGAACTTAAGATTCACTGCTTGTATGGCACTAAAAGAAAATGTTTTACAGATGGTATATCACACCGGTAAAATTAGCAAAAATGTATAAGACGTGTAATAAGTGTTGGAAATGTAAGGAAACAGAAGGAACGTTTTATCACATGTGGTGGGAGTGTAAGAAAGTGAAGGGATTTTGGGAGATGATATACAATGAAATGAAAAAGATGTTAAAATGTACATTTGCAAAGAAACCAGAGATATTTCTTTTAGGGATTACAGGAAAGGAAATAAGAAGAAAGGACTGTAAACTTTTCCAATATGCAGTTACAGCAGCAAGAATTCTACTGGCCCAGAAATGGAAACAAGAGGAAATACCGACGGTAGAAGAATGGAGACTGAAGCTGACAGACTATGCAGAACTGGACAGACTAACTGGGAAAATCAGATATCTACGAGACCAAAAGTTCATCAAGGACTGGGGGAAATTTGTTGAATATCTGAAAAGAACGTGTGATGTGCAAACAACACTAGTGGGGTTCCAAGAAGCACTGTGAAAGTTGAGATATATTGTTTGAAAGAAATAGAAGTGGGAGGGAAGGTTAACGGCAATATAAACAGAAGAAATGCGTAACTGGGAGGCAAATATGGATGATTGTCAGAGAAGCTGAAGGAAGTCCAAATAGTGTTAAATTTGTGGAAATTCTGATATGATTGTTTATTTGTGTTGGGAAATTAATAAAAATTATTTAAAAAAACAACAACAGAGAGGCCTGGAGGGTGGCATTTGGCCCCTGGGACTGAGGTCCCCACCCTTGTCTCACATCTAAAAGACCATGTTCCCAAGAGATGCAGATTTGTGGCCACATGTTACGGGCAACACTTGAAAAGCGGCGGTGTGTGAACCATAATTCCGAAGGCTTCCCTGGAGATGGCAGGAGAAAGCTTCCATCTGCTGCTAATCTTAACAGCTAACTGTCTCTCCTCCTATCCCCCGCCTCCACCTCCGGAAAGTTGGCTGCTGGAGTAGAAATATTCTCTTGCCTCTCTCTGGTCTTCTCTGCCCATCTCTGAGGGAGTTTCAGCTTAACACCTGGCTCATTGGCATACGATTTGTGTAATGGGTAGCAAAATATCTTGCACCTCCCCAAGTCAGAAGTGGGTTATATTGCCTTTTAAAACAAACACTTACAGAAGTCTCCAAGTCCACAGTTGAGCCTGTCAGACAGAAGTCAGAGTTTTGTGGGCTGATTATGGCTTTGGCTAGAGGGCTTCGGTTCAGAAGAAGGAGGGCCTTGAACATTTGCTCCGTTGTCACCAAAGAACTGACCACCATACACCTGACATTCTTATCAACACCGGACAAATTTCCTTGTGTCTTGACAGACAGGAGACAGGCATCCTGCTCTTTCATCTCTGAGAGAGAGAGAGAGAGAGAGAGAGAGAGAGAGAGAGAGAGAGATACACAGGGGTACAATTCAGAAACCACAGTGTATGCATTCATTATCATCTAGCATTCAAATCATGATTTGAGAGCTTTTCTAGCATACATATTAACAGACTGTACATTGTTTAGAGTTCTTTGCCTGCTTCCATTTCCCAAAACCGTGGCTTGTAACCCCACTTCAAACAATGGCTTCTGATCTCAATCCATGGCTTCTTGGCTTGCCAGTGGATGATAAACCATGGTTTGTCAACTCAAAACTTCATGCCAAACTATAGTTAAGCTTTCTTAACCACAAAGCTTGGTGCAATACCTGGACTAAGCCAGAATTTCATGCTGAAATAGCAGAAATGGGTCCCCCATCCCAAATCAAATAACTTACTGACACCAAGGGTTGGCTAACATAATTGTTTTGTACACTTACTTATTAGTTTTTTTAAAAAACAACAACACCTACCAGTATAAAACCGAGTCACATAGCCCACATGGCGTAATGGACAGCTCTCTGCCTTGCCTTCTTTGCTACAGAAGTTTTGCTTTTCAGACAATATTAAGAACACCAAGTCACATTCCTTTGGGTGCAGCTGTTTGTCTAAATTGCTTCTTGAGATGTTAACTGGAGAAGTAATTTGAACACACACAACAAAAATATGCAAGCATTTAGCCACATACAGATACAACTACGTTGTTACCAAAAGCTCTTAATAAAACAGTAGGCATGTCGCGCACAAGTTGCTACAGCTGAACTTTGAATTCCAGATGTTTTTGGTTACCCAGTCGCACATTCTAATAAATATTCACTCAATTTAGTTGTATGAGCTTTTTCATTGGTGAGACCTGCTGAGGTCCATTTTGGAGAGCATTCTGGGTATTGAGATAAAGCAGGCACACCTTGCCTCAATCCTCGTTTTTTCTTTTTAATCAAATAATATTGATTTTTATTCATTATTCATTTCATCATTTGCAGCACCTGGATATCAGTTTGTTTGTCACAGATATTGGTTTATTTTATTTCATAAAATTTATACACGGCTTGTTTGGTTTTTCACAACTTCAAAGCAGTTTACCAAAAGATTAAAACAATAAAATAATTGGTAAAAAAATTATTTAAAACATTTTTTAAAAATCAAATCAACGAGAAACTGAAAACAGGCTAAAATACACATCAACATTCTGTGTTGGGCAGAAAAGCAAAAAAGATACAGGCAGAATAAAGTATAATAGCCCTTGACTGCTCACCCCAACAGTCTGTTAACACAAGCACTTCTGTTATCTACTACAACCACCATTAAAAACAGGACTGCATTTCTACTTCCCATTTGTTTATATGCAGTGAAATTCTCACTCACTTGTAAAATCTGCTTCATTTGTGTCTGCATTGAAGTTCAGCAAATTCAACTCAAAAGGCCTTTGCTCTTTTGATTTCTGGTTCTCTAGCCACTCCTGTGCCATCTGCAGGGAAATGGAAGCATAGGCTTAAGAGACTGCTCTTCCACCACATGTGGGCTGCTAAAACCATTGGGCAGGATTCCCTGCTCATAAATGGGGCCCAGAGAGTCTGTGGCTCACCACAGTTAACTTTATTGACTGATTTTCACAGAGAGCAAGAGGAGTTACAGTCTAAGGAAATAATAAAATCCCTGCTTGCAGCAGCCCAACAACTGGTGGCACAAAACTGGAGAAATTTAGCAAACTTGCAACTTTTCTTATGAGGACAAAAGGTATGGACAGTGATATTAACGAAGAAACTTACCAAATATATGAAAGCTCTATATTGAACATAAGACTCCAACCATTTTATGGACATATGATGTTCTGTTATTACTTTCCTGTTTGGGAATCCATCAAATTAGCAGCCTCCATCTACTCATGGACAATTGTGATGCAATGTATTTTGTTAAATACACATGCTCTCGCTTAGTGGGATTGGGAGGGAGGACTGTATTGCTTAAAAAAAAAAGTCTATTGATGTATTAGCATAATTTTGATGCATACATTTGTAAAACTAAATAAAAACATTCAACACCTGCCCCATCCAAAAAAAACCCAAATGGGACACTTTTAACCCCGCTCCCCCCTTGCCAAAAAACCCTAGAGTCCACTACTACACTAGTGCAACAGTTAGGCTTACAAAAATCCCTTTTGCATGAACGAGACACCTCTTTTTTCTTTATTTCCCCCCCCCCAAAAAAAAAAACTAGGTGCGTCCTATAGGGCGGTGTGTCCTATGGGGCGAAAAATACGGTATTTGTTTGAAAATATTGGATCTGTATTTTTGTCAAAATATTTTTGAAAAATGTAATTAAAAAAGCAATTTCACAGAAAAAAACAAAACATGGAAAAGAAATGGGTGACCTATAGGGACCTACTGGACCTCACAGAAGAGGGTGTGATGCTTAAGAACAGGCATAGGCAAACTCGGCCCTCCAGCTGTTTTGGGACTACAACTCCCATCATCCCGGACCACTGGTCCTGTGAGCTAGGGATGATGGGAATTGTAGTCCCAAAACATCTGGAGGGCCGAGTTTGCCTATGCCTGCTTAAGAAGTTAGAGGATAAAAAGGATTGGTTGATCAATTGGTTGCAATACTATCAACTGATTGAAGTATTTAAACAAGGTAAGAAGCATGGGTTTATTAATCAAAGCTCTCAGTTTGAAAAAGAGTTATTAGAGAACAGAGAAAAACTAATTTCAAAGATGTATAAGAGGCTTTTAGGATGAGAAACTAAAGATTGAAATAGATAAATCTGCTATGATCCACTGAACTAGCGATGTGGGCACAATATAGAGATGAAGGCATAGGAAAAACTGTAGAAATTGAATATAAAATTCTCAGTGTGTTATGTTTTGAAAGAAAACTTTATGAAAATGACTCACAGATGGTACTTGGCACCGAGTAAGCTAGCAAAAATGTACAAATCAGAGTCAGGCTTATGTTGGAAATGTAAAGAAGCAGAAGACACTTTTTACCAGATGTGGTGGACATGTAAAGTGGCTAAGAGTTTTTGGGAGATGGTTTATAATGAGGTTAAAAAATTACATAAGGTGATGCTCCCAAAAAACTCCAAGGCATTTCTCTTAGGGATAACTGGGTCAGATGTTTCAAGAAGACAGACGAACCAATTGTATGCTACAACAGCAGCAAGAGTACTCTATGCACAAAAATGGCGAAATCAGGAGACACCTACTAAAGAAGAGTGGCAGTTTAAACTGACAGAATACAGTGGTGCCTCGCAAAACGAAATTAATTCGTTCCGCGAGTTTTGTCGTCTTGCGATTTTTTTCCTCTTGCGAAGCACGGTGTCGGGAAAGTTTTGGAAAAGCTTCAAAAATCACCAAAGTCTTTAAAAACCTCAAAAAGGCTACACACCGCGTTCTATGAGTTGCTCCTCAAAGTCAAGTCGCAACTGTATTAACGGTGTTAAGAAAAAGGAAACAAACTTGCAAGACGTTTCCGTCTTGCGAAGCAAGCCCATAGGGAAAATCGTCTTGCGAAGCAGCTCAAAAAACAAAAACCCTTTCGTCTAGCGAGTTTTTTGTCTTGCGAGGCATTCGTCTTGCGAGGTACCACTGTATGCCGAATTGGCAAACTTAACTATGGAAATTAGAGATCAAGAAGAGGTAGGTTTTAAGGAGGAGTGGAAACCTTTTGTTGAATATTTAAAGAATTATTGTAAACATGTTAAAATGTAGGTAGGATTTGAATGAAGAACAGCAACTGAATACTTGTTGTTGAGTACAGTGTGGAAAAGACAAGGTATAGAATATTGATAATATGCAGCAAATTTAAACATTACGGGGGCAACCATGGAGGGGGGCTGTGAAGTTGAACACACAAGGGATGTGTCTTTGGAAACATGTGTCAACTTGTCAACTTTTGAAATTGAGAGACAGAGAGAGAGTTTAATTGCAGCTAGTGGGAGGATTTCCTTTGAGGAGGAAAGAAAAACGAGGTGGTCTGTTGCCAGCTTACCGTTTCAAATGCATTTAGCATCATTAAGGGGAAGAAAGTATTGAAGTAGTCATTGTAATCCTCAAACTTGGCTGTGACAGGGGCAACAATAGACTGAAGGAGATGGCTTGGTGGCCCAAACAGTTTAAAGTTTGCAAACATGTCATAGTTCCACTTCAGCACCTCTCTGGTGAAAATCCCATGGTCTCTCTGCTGGGCATTCACAATGTTTGCTTGTGCAAAGGGTTGGTGCACTTTGTTCCAAGAACCAGCTCTGGGGGTGGGCAGCGCCATGACAATATGGTTATTTTGCACATTCAGCAACTGAGGGGTGTTGTTTGAAATCCGAGGCTGGAGAATGCTGCTCAGCGTCGGGGTCTTGAACTGCAAGTCATCATCACTACCCTGCAGTGGGCTTGCAGATATATTGACTTCCATGTTTGAGAGGTAACTGCCATCTTCTATTTGTGAACACAGTTCCATGTCCACTGGATCCAACTGTGTAAGAAAGAAGCCGTCACCATCTTTGTTCTCATTCAATTGGGGCTCTCTTTTTCAAAGCCACATCCTCGTCACATGGGCTAGAGGAGGGATCTGGAAAGGTCAAATGATTGGTTTTACTAGCTCCAGCAGAACTTTCCTTCTGATTTTCCACCCCCACCATACTGGCAGACTGCACAGGTCTTAGCTCTGCCACTTTGGGTTTTTTGGCTGGCTGAGCCTCCTGAGTTTCTCCGTGAGTACACTGACAATTCTCTCTCTCTTTGGGGTTTGTCTGCCTATAGAGCTGACGTTTTTGGCAGGCAAAATTGTTCTTATTTCTAGTAGTTAGTTGCTGAGCATTTACTAATTGTGATGTCCTTTCCTGGGGAACATCCACCTCGCCAACAATTTCCCTGTAACTGCGCAACTCAGCAAGACTGTCCTGTGTGCACTGAGCATTTTCGGCTGCTCTTTGGACTTTCTCTGATAGGCCATGTTTTTCTGTCACTAAGGTTGGGGCTGGCATATGTTGGATTTCGTTGGGTGGGACCAGAGCAGGAGTAGATCTTGCCAGTTTTGCCAGCAGTGGTTTTTTACTGTGCATGCTTGGCTTGATGCTTCCCTTGGGACTTTCTCTAGCTGTTTTAACCTGCCCATATTCTGCAGAGCTCTTCCCTGGCTGAATAGTGGATTCTTTGACAGCAGGTGCTGACCCTGAAGGACTGGCAGATGCTGATGTACTGGGCAGAACTGGATCTGTGCACCTGGAACAGCTTCCATTGCCAGCACATATCCCTGTGAAATTTGAGCATACCACTGCATTTCCCTTGCCGATGTGGCCTTCACGAGCTGCTGTATGATGTATGAGGTCTGGAGCAGTCAATGGCTCTTGCTCTGGGGCACTGAATTTCTTCTCAAGGCACACGTCCACTTGCCCTTTCCTGCTCTCTCTACCAGCTTTCATTTTGTTTTCATCCTCATCTGAAGAAGCGTCAGAAATAATGACTTGGTTTGGGGAATCATCTGCATCAGCAGACAACTTGTTGCTCTCTCGGGCAGACAAAGTTTGAACAGCTCCTTTAGCTTTCTTCTTAATGCATTTTTGGTGACGGATGATGCTTTCCTGGCTAGAGTCAATGGGTAAACTGCTTCCTTTAGCACACACAACAGAGGCCTTGCCTGAGCTTGCCTCTGATTTGCAAGGCAATGTGTCTGATGTGCTGCCTCTGGCTACAATGATTTCACTCCTCTGCCCTTCCTGGCTCTTTGTTCTGTCTCTGACCAACTGCAGCTTTTCTGTTCCTGGCTCCAGATTGGTATTTCCTCTCCTACTGCTTTCAGGTAACAGTTTTAATTGCAGGGTGCTGTCTGGTTTCAGAGATCTGATTTTGCTTGTAAGGTCATTTAGACCAACCTTTCTCTCCAAAGCACTGCTGCTGTTACCATTCTTTTCTGGAAGAGATCTGGAAGAACTGGGCTTCTCCTTTGTGCTGAAGTCTTTGGTCTCCAGGTCTTGAAAACCGAGGCCAAAGCTTTGGTAGAAGGGATCTTGCTTGTTTTGGACCCCTGGCCATTGATGAGACACCACATTTTTCTGGGCATCCATGTGTCTGTTTGCTAACACAGACAAGCAGGGTAGGTGCTCATTGTCCATATTCATTGGACACCTGTCTTCCTGCCTTTTGTGGTTCATCAGGAAAGTAGGTGAAGTTACACAAACAGGAGGGCTCTTCACAAGGGAGGAAGGATTTAACGATTTGCTCATGATGCTCCATATGATCTCCTTCAGAGTGTTCTGTAATTCTAGAGCCTGCTGGGAACTCAGCTCCCAGTGCTTGTGGCTACGGCGAAGCAAGTTGAGTTCATCAAGGAACTGCTTACAAGTGGGTGACTGCACAACCTGATACCCTTCCTTCAGGATGTTACGGATCAGTTTCATGCAGGCAAACTGTATGGGTTCAGGTTCCCAAGATGGTGATGTCACTGTGCTTCTTAAGCTATTCCTGACTACTCTTCTCTCAATGCCAGGCATGAACACCGTACTTGGAAGCATGACACATTTCACCACTATCCACACCCACATTTCTGAGCTGATCCACAGAAAATGAAGGCAATTTTTCTTAAGGCTGCACTCAACAACAGACACCAAGATCCAGATGAAGAACTCAGACACTTTGTCACAAGTCTCAACAGTGCCACTGAGGACATTTTGGATTTCCAAACACAGGTGATGAATGACCACTATGCTGTAGGCAATCCCCAGGTCCTTCAGGTCCATAAGGGAGTGGATAAAAGGGATGAACCATAAAAAAGTGCTGTTGTGCAACTGCATGTCTTGGCCGATGTCAGAATGTAACAGGTCGGTCAGAGTCTGGATATCTTTGTACAAGTAGAGGCAGTAATCAGGACAAATGGTATCCTGAAACAGGAAACAGGAAGTCAATGTTTAGCAGCATGTTCTCAACTTTCCTGCTCTGCATATCCAACAACAACCCGCCTCACTTCAAGGATTTCACTAGGAGGGGAAAGGGGGATTTGTCACCCTTCAAGTGTTGCTGGACTTCAAATTCCATCAGCCCCAGCTAGCATGGCCAACAATCAGAGATTATGGGAGTTGTAGCCACAGGTCCCCTGTCCCTATACTAGTTATACTAGTCACTATACAGTGATCTTTTTTTGGGGGGGGGGGGTATTGCCAGCCAACAAGGCTAGAAACATTTTTTTAAAAAATGAAAAAAAGACAAGGTTTTCAAGGGGGTGAATTCTGTCGCCAATAAAAAACCACCCTTCAAACAAACATGGAGGAGGAAAACTGCTTCTGTTCTAGAGGACAGATGTGATTTGATACTTCTCTATAACTATAATCCAGAACCGTCCACATAGCCATGTTTCAAGCATGGAAGAAGACAGTAAGATAGATCAACAAGCAAGTTACCTTGTGGGGCTTTTCAATGTGGTAGTCATACGCCAGTTGGCTGCAAGTGACAAATTCATCTCCATAGTCCGACATGGGCTCAGATTTAGTCCTTCAAAAATATTAAGAAAGCCAAGGGTTTTGTCAGGAACCAGTCATGTGAAGGTCAGCAATAAAAAAACACTGGTGTCAGTGAAGTTAGCTCTTTATTCAAAGAAACAAAAACAGTGCAGGCCTAGTGATCCCAGCAACTCTTCCCAGTAGGTCTTGGCCCAATGCAGAAGTTGCAAGGACTGAAGGTCCCTGCCCTCCCACAGCTGCCTATGGTCTCTCCTCTCCAGGGGTTTTTCCAAGCAGTCGGAGACTACGTCTGCACGCAACCAATCTCTCCTCTGCTCTTTTCATTTCTCTGCATGTTCTGGGAGGCCGGGGGGAGCGGAGCTGGTCACAGAAGGGAGACACTCCTTAGTCCTTCAGCAGCCTGCCTCTTCTTGGTCTACTGGCCCCCTTCCTCTCCAGCCTCTGAATTATGACTTTCTGCCCCAGCTTCTTCCTGTTCACTAAACCCTGTTACCTCTTCAGCTTCCAACACCACCTACTCCCAGTCCGCTCCCTCTTCTTCCTCTGACCACTCTTCAGCATCCCACCATCAGTCCCCTGGCTCTGAGCCTTCTTCCCCTGGAGGATCCCTTGGGGGTTCTCCAGCTGGCACCTCCCACCACTCCCCCGCATCCAGACAGTCCATGACAGGTTTAAACCATTAGCTACTTATTTAAATGTGTAGTACACACTATTCTGAAAGCTCGAGATGGGGGGGGCGGGGCGGGCAGAAAAGAACAGAATAAAATGTAATTAAGCTCAGTGTTATTTCCTCACTGACTTGGAGTCCCAAGACTATGGGAATGATTATGGTCTTACAATGTAATTTGTCACAAGGAGCACTTAAATTATTCTCAAACTTAAACTGAGACCCAGGTTCTGCTCAAATGCCTGCTTCAAATTTAACACTAAGATATAGTTTACGTGAAGGAGAAATTTCCATTTTCCTTCATCTTGTCAGGATCCATTTTGAGCCTTTAGGACTCCATATGCTGTATTAGTTTTATCATCTGTGTATGAACTTTGACTGACCTATTCTAACAGAGAAAAACATTATTTTTAACCAAGAAGTTATGTGTTCCCAGTGTCCTGGTACACTGAGAGAACAAACTCTGACGGAATGTAATGTCACGGGACTGCCAAGGGACGCCTTGGAGTCGGGGAAGAAAAGAGTCAGAGTGGGAACAGTCAGAAGGAAACGGTCGGCAGATGACGGAAGGGGAAGAGGGGGAGAGCCAGGAGGAGGCACAGGAAAGGAGAGGGTTAAAGCGCAGGGATCAGAGAGGTCCCATGAACATTCCAGCCACCTCTTCTGTTGGAGGAGAAGCAGGAGAAGACCACTCCCCGAATCTGAACCAGACGATTCGGATGCCTGATTGTACTGTGCTGCTTTTACATATGCAAAATAAAGAACTGTAAATACCTCTCTGAGTGAGCAGAGGGTGCTTATTGCGAATAGCATACACAAACCATCACATGTAAGCATATAATCACTGTGACAATGGATAAAAGAATGCTAGGCATAACAGAACTTGCATTTAACCTTAGGTCAATAGGACTGATGTATTAATCACAGATAATGGAAAGCAGATGTTGATAGACAAATGATAAACAGGGTGATTAACCAAAAGACACTGATAAATGATTAATGAAGACATTGTTAAAAGGAGGAGTTTGGGGTGGGCTCTCTCACTGGTCTAGAACAGGTTTTCAACCTTTTTGAGTCCATGGATCCCTTGACCAACTACATTCTTTCTGTGGCACCCCTGTGGGGCTCAGGAGCCCGGTTACATTTCCCTTACCTGCAGAACTGGCAGCCTCTCACCCTTTTTCAAACACCCTCCCTCATGGAGTGTTCCCTCAGCCTCCTCTCCTCTTCCCTCTCATTGGGAGTCCTCCAGGTAGCTGCTGCAGTCCCTGGTCTGAGCTGTGCCCCCTGCCCCAAAGAGAAGTGTCTCCTCACACTGTCCATTCCCAACAGCAAGAG